CATCTCGCTCGCGCACGCTATAGTCACACTGACAACTTTCTGTCTCAGATGCGCGCGCATCGTAAAATTTCACTCTCATCAATTTTTCATAACGCGCCTAAAGAAGTATAACTTCAAAAATATAACACAAGAACAGAGTGTCTTCCCTTTAATAGACTGTAAGTAGTGTAATTGGACACTTTCTTATGTTAAATATCCTTTTTAGTAAATTAGGTTAGACTTAAATTACTTATTAGTCTTAAGTTAGGCTAGATCATAATGTTCCATGATGTCTTACTTTCAGTAAAGTATTAAGAAAATATTGGTAACTATGTTCACTTATAATCGTCAAAATATTAAAAATAAAATTAAGTTCACAAATCAAGACCAGCCGATAAGAACTGACAAGATACTGTCTGCCATTATTTTTAATCGTATCGTTGTAACAAGCTCACACGAGACTTCAAATACAACTTAGATATAAATAAAACAAATCGAAGATGTTGAATTACGCTCCGTATTAAGTTGCAAGGACAATTTCTCGGGCAAGCGTGTGTATATGCACGCACTTTCTTTTGTTATTCACGTACGAATGATAGTAATCAAGTGCTATTTAAATCCCTTGAGGTTTATTCATACAGGGAAAACGCTTATATACCGACCGATACTAAAATCGAAATTATTATTAGTAATCATAACAATCAAGTATTTATAATTTTCTTAACCTACAAAGTAATAATAAAAATAAATTAAAACAAATTTACAAAGTTTGGTCTCTGTGACTGTATTGCGATACTTATTCGTTGAGCGAGGAAATCATCAGCTCTGGGGTCACCGGTACTATCTACCAGGCGCCAACTTAAATCTGTAATTAGCAAATCTTTTTTAAATCAAAATTGAATTAACAATTCACCATAAACATTCCTAGAAGGGAATAAACAAAATATATGCGTTAATATATCTGTTTATTATTAGTGTTTTAACTTTTCTATACTATAAAAAGTTTTCTTGATTACACTGGCGCTACAAGTTAAACGTACTTGTGTAGCTTCTAGAATATTGACCACGGAGAGTCGTCCGAAATCATGGCAAGTGTTCGCCCCATCCCCAGATTCAGGGACAAATAAGAGGAGAAAAGGGAATTAGCTAGGGTTTCAATATCAGCATTTCAACTTTAAATAAATAGAGCAAGCAAAACTAAATAGATGTATCACTGACATATTTATAGAAGTCACTTTTTATTATAAGAGCAGTGTTGGCCTAGTGGCTTCAGCGAGCGTACGCTGAAGCCCTGAGGTCGTAGGTTCGATCACCGGCTCGAACGGTGAAGTAAAACATCGTAAGAAAACCAGCTTGCCTTACAAAAAGTCGGCGTGGGTCAGACACAAGAGCCTGATCACCTACTTGTCTATTAGATTGACAAATTAAAAAAAAACAAAAATTCATGTTACCTAACACAATGTACACTTATGAACGTCAATAAAGAAATACATATTAAATGCTTCTAATTTTGATATGAATATGAGACAAATGATAATGAAACAGATTCAGAAATCTGAGGCCCAGACCTAAAAAGGTTGTAGCGCCACTGATTTATTTATTTTATAGGTCACTTTCGTGTTTTTTCAACAGCGTGCCAAGTCAACTTATATGTCCTAAGGGCACTCCTGCGCCATATCAAGACACACCCATCGCTCTCATATAACCTGTCTTAACACGTGCTACTTAGCCGCATTTCAATTGCGTAATGAAAAGCTTTAAATGAGTGTTATTGATTGTTTCTTTAACTTGTGTAATGATACGTAATGTACGGGTCTATAGCAGTAAAAATAATGAAGCCTGGTTGAGGTTTTTTTGTGGTTGTTAATCTGTGCACTACAATGCGTTTTTATTTCTTAAATTATTATCTTGTCATCAGCTTTAGTGATACATATTAGCGGATATAAGTATCAATAAAAATATCGATTCAATGTAATAAAAAAAACGGAATTTATACATTTAATACGAATCTTTTCAAAACTCGAAAAACGACAAGGCTAAAAACACAATCCGTATCACCTCGACGTCCCTCGTTCCACAACTGATCGTTTCTTAAGGCAGTTTATGACGGGTATCCACTATGTGGAACCAGCTGCCCACTGAAGTATTTCCGAACCAATGTGACTTTAACTAATTCTTAAAAATGCCTCCTGTTACTTAGAAAAAGTAGTCGTTTAAAAATAATATATATAAAGATAATAATAATGCAAATAAAAAACATTAAACTCATACAGTGACCGAGAATTACATAATGAAAGTGAAATCTTGATATTCTCGCGTCAACATAATTCACTACAGCTGCTGATTATACGATATGCTCCTGTAAATTTGCAATTAAATCACGGAGGCATTCTAAGGCCACATTCACAATTCAATTGGTACACATTTGGTTTGTGTCGTTTATACGTATTCTGATATATATTGCATTAGAACTGGATATGATTGTGACAGGTTTAGGGAGACTAAGAGACGAATCTAAAGTATAGTACCTAATAATAGAAAAAGAAAATATAATAAATTAATAATAAATAATGTCATTACACTGTCAGTTACATAGTGCGTACAATAAATATTTTTACTATATACCAACATAATATAATAAAATGTATTCATTGTTTTTTTTTCTTTGCCTAACTCCAATGGCAAAGTTTTAATTATCGAACGGTTCTGATTGCTAGGTATCTTAACAAATATTATAATATTAATAGTACAGGTAAAAAACCTATCATATCAGTTGTTCCTAAGTTTGTGTCACATGTATTTAAGCCTAGAACTGTATTTTCTACATACTAGTAGGTACATTGTTTATTAAGACATTTCAATAAATTATTAAGTAAGCCTGCATGACTTCAAATTATTCCATGGCAGCGACGCTCTTACCAGCCAAGAAAAGTATGTGGCGCTGTGTAGAGGAGAAATTCTGCTCTTACAGTTTCATTTCCCAGGGCTTTGCTCACCGAAAATGCTGAGTATTCATATAAAAATCTTGTTTCTGTAAATAAATAATGTATCAATATATGTCTTAACCTGCTTAAATATGAATCTGTACTTCAGAAGCTCGTTAATAATGATAAACTTGAAGAGAACAATATAAAAACTTGTCCATCCTTATCTTTGTGTTCAAGACTGAAGATCATTAGTCTCACTGGACTTCAAAACCTTTAATTACAACTTGACGTGTAATATGAGTTTAACAAATTAGTTTCACTCACAATCAGATCACATTTGTTGTTTCATCATTTAACTAGAAGCATAAGACTTCTATTTAAAAATATCTAATTTTATATTTGAGATTCGTTTGGTATAAATACTTGTCGCTAAAATTTTAGAAATTTGGTAAGGTTCAATTTTATATTGTCTTTGGTCTTCGCCAGAGTTTTAAATGACTGATGAAATCTATAAGTATATAGCACTTTAAGGGTCGGTTTCATAATGTACGGATAAGTTCTACATACGTTCCAAATTAGTAATTTATTACTTATTGATAGGTTAAACACTATTGTTGCGTTTCACGACTGTCAGATATAATAGCGCTATTAGTCACATTAAGTCCATCATAAGTTAGTCCGATGAAGTGTCAAATAGCACAAGTTATCTTCCAAATAATTTACGTGTTGCATAGCTATTTGGTACTTTATCCGTACATTGTGAAACAGACCCTAAATGTCATTTAGTAAATCTACGTTTTAGTTTTAATAATATTAAAGCAATTTATTCGTAAGCGCCGCTAAAACGTAGTACGTGAATTGTCGATACTTTAATGTATTAATTCATTAGTAAGTAGCACTTTAGGTCCATTAATAGCAATTTAAACTAATGCATTTTACAAATAGTGTAGCTGTCCCAAATAATAAGTGACACTTACAATTTATGTAATTAAACGTAATCGAAAAAATTTCATAATAATTGTAAAGGTGTGTAAATATGATTGTAGATTGACCACCAACACCGTTGCACTCCATTTACCTCAGTGAGATAATATTGCAATACATTTAGAAACACTTTTAAAACTTACAAGAAAGCTTAATGAATTTATGTATAAAAGGGATCAATCATAGCAGTCTATTTGAACATTCATAGCGCCATAAGGTTATTAACTCAAAATGCAAAAAGCATTCAATGCGTTTGTAAAGATTTACTAGAAACTTTAATTTTTTAAAGGGATCTTAACCGTCATAGTGTTTTAATATTCGTACCGCCATAAGATCATTAACTCGCCATTCAATGCGTTTGTATTAAATATAAATAAAACACGTAAATATCATAGAATTTTATTTAAGGTGCGACAGCTGATAAACATACAAAAACATTCTCACGAACCGAATCTTCTGTACCTATTTTAATACTCATAAACTCGTAATGCAAGTGAGCAACGATACAAGTGAATACCAAAATATTATGCAACTTTCACTTCCTTTAATATCTTCGAGATATTAGCCTTGTTAGATAATAACTTTCATTCCAGCTTCGACTTTGTATGCTTTAGTTAGACTATACTATTTCTCCGTATAACTTCAGTTGGTTTTAATTAACTAACATCTCCCCTTTGTACAATAAAACAGTAGACGAACTCTTTTACACTAATAAAATATATCAAAATTTAATCCGCAGTGTAAACAGTCTGTAACAGACTTATGCTTTTTTTAAACTTACTTGTACGTAAATATAACCAAATTAACAAATATGTTGTAAATTTATTTGCATAACACAATTTATGACATTATTGTACTGGTTTTATATCGAAATCTGACAAGATTTAGGTCATAATTATATAACACTTACTATAAGTAATAAAGCATCAGTAGTGATAATTATACGACCACACCTTAGCAATTACACATTATATATCGAGTAGGTGCACCGAAAATAAATTGACGATATGGAGAACTTATATTTTCAAGATTAACTAAATATTTCTCAAATGTTCTTTTAACGGCGGAAGTAGGTAGGTCACTAAGATCTAGGTCCGGTATATATGAAGAATGTTCTATCAATTCGGAGCCAGCTTCTTTAATTGCCAGCCATCTCAACTGGACTTGACGCTTGGATCTTGGTATTTCTTGTTGTTACGTTGTTGCGTATTTCCTCACGCAACTTTGCTATTTGTCGTGCTACAAATTTCCCCGTAATTGTTAATAATTTGTGCCATTTTCTGTTCAAAAATAAATTTAAAATAAAATCTGTCTAAACGCGGTAAATGGAATTAATAATAGTCTGTAGTCCTTAAACAAACCTGTCCAGACGTAGTGTTATTAATAAATTATCTCACAGGGTATGATTAAAAACTAATTGACATATACGCTTGCCCTGCGACCAAAGTCGTACAAGCAAAATCTATTTTGTTCAGGAAAAATAAAATTAGGTAACGCTATTATTTTTAGGATACTAACTACATTACATATACAATTATACATATCAAATGAAAGCTTATTTTTTTCCTATTCGACCATTTAAAGTTTAAACATTGTTGTTATGGTAGGGGAGCCCACGATGCTAAATGGGGATTTACTCGAGCGTCGTAGAGACCTATTGGGATGCAAAGCTTAGATAATAAGAAGAAAAAAATGTTATATGATAAATTCCTTTTCATCGGTGGGGGAAGCGGCTATAGATAGTTAAATATGTAAAAAAAACTGTTGCATGGACATCCTCGAGCGCGTCAGATATTGATAGCATCTATGCCCTACGTATTTTTAATAATGTACGTATGTTAATCTGATCGTTTGCATGATGCGGGTGGTTGTATTTAAGGGTTGAAAATGAAAAAAAAAAAAAATATCGAGCGCGTCAGATTTTCTAAGGGAGTGTTAAGTGCACCAAAAAAAAGCTCTCATTCACTAATCTGACGATTTCGATGGGACGCAAACCCACAGCCATTTTCATAATTTGCAAAAAAAAATCACAATTTTGAAATACTCAAGCGCGTCAGATTAAGATATATGTGGTTCATCTTTATGTTCTAAACGTACTGTCTCATAATCTAACGATTATCTAGAGGGATTCGCCTGATCTGACAAAAAAAATTTAGAAAAACGGTTCACCTAAAGGGCCATCCCTGCAACTTCCCGCTAATTCCATTCCTGGGCGCTTAAAATTGATATTTTGAGCTCGCTGAGTTCAAAGAAATAACATTTCTATGCATTTGAGCTCTCCCAGGTCGAAAGTCTGATTGGAATGGAATTTTCAAACCGCAATAACTTTTGAATGGATCAAGCAATTTTCACGCGGTTGGCGGCATTCGACGCAGTTTTATCATCCTCATAAGTAATTTTGCAATTTTAATTGATCGAACCACAAATTTCGGAGTAATCCCGAATAAACACTTTTTCGGGTTTCTTTCGTTCACGATATCTCTCGAACGAATCAACCGCTTTTGACCAGCTTAGTGGCGATCAACGTGGTTTTTCAAGCTCAAAGGTGGATTAGTTTTTGAAGTTGATCGATAAAGAAACCACTTTAAAAAAAATATTTCTTATTTTTTTAAGATTTTTCAAAATTTCTCAAAATCTATCGGTCCGAATCGGTTCAAATTCACAGGAAATGTAATTTTGAGGGAAATATTTAGAACGCCGTTTAGTAGATTCCGATCGGTTTAAGGAAATGTAGGCATCACGCAGCTGCACGCATTTAACTTTATCGACGAATTTTTGTTATTTCGGCTTGCGGAAATCGTCAGATTATATATTTTTCATTATTCTTGAATTATTTCCTTCAAAATAAAAAAAAAATTAGCTACGCTCGAGAATGTCGAGATGACGTTTTTTTTTACAACTTTGTTGCCCTCCCCTTTTTTCCGTCACTCTCAAATTGTCAGATTAGTGGAATATACACTTTTAGGATGTAATTAACTCACCCTACCTTAATCTGATGCGCTCGGGAATTTCTGATGGTCAATTTTTTTTACTAATCTGATCCTGTCTCCTTCACAGGCGGCTTTATATATGGACCTCATGTTTTGTGGAGGTACTTAACCGAGTACAAGCTATCCCCCTGTATATTAATCTGCCGCGCTTTAGTAAATCCCGAAATCCCCTCTTGGGCTCCCCTACCATTATGTATATTATAGAAATTCATCTAATTAGACTGAAGAGCAAAAGTGTTTAGGATTGTTTTCACGGTTTAAACATAATTTCGGACGACACAGTAACCGCACGTAATAAGCTATTACCACTCTTTTCGCAAAAATATAATGCCTTGGTGAAACAGGGATATATTATTACAACTCTTTATTCGTTTTTAAACAGTCTCATTAACTTTTTATGATAATTTGGTAGAATTTCAATCTAAACTAAAACTTGGTTGTTGTGATCTATTTCAAAAAAAATCAGTAAGATGTTTTGCGAAAATTCTGAAAAAAATAGTTACATCACCCAAGGAAGTTAAAAATGAGAAAACATAAAACAGTCGTTGTAGTGCTTTGCTACATTGTTCCGCGATGCAAGCGAATTATGTACTAGCTATAGACTCTGACCTACATTTGTATTATGAAAACTCATTTTACTGATAAATATTTTCACTGAATGAATGTAATCTAATGATGCAGTAAGTATTGTCTTGTCGGAGAAACTTACAAGTTTGACGTAAATCCAATCAAACGGTTGAATGCGTCGGAAATTATCTATTATAAATAATAATAATATTATTTATTTTTTTATATATTCCGGGTCGCAGAGCTGGCGTATATGTCAATTATTATTATTTATCTACAGTACTATCCAAAAAAAATCATTAAGTCAGACTAATTTTCGCGTAGCGCGTGTGCGAAGTGAATGAATTGCACAATTTTTTTTCTTGAAGAACAAAGTTTTAAGCACAGTTTACACTGTCAACTCACTTTGAATACTCATTCTAGAAATACATTTAAATAGATCTCTTAAGTAACCGAGTAAGGAAAACAGAGTAAGAGGAGTCGGATAATTGAATATATTAGTGTTATCTTGAATATATTTAATTCACGGCCTTGTCCTCGTATCTGTTTCATGATAATTTATTTGTTGTTTTTTTTATATATTAGGCATCTAAGTGATCAATCTGCTGTGCCTGACACACGCTATCGACTTTTGCGTCTATAGCATGTCAGTTTCCTCCTGATATTTTCCTTCATTGTACGAGTATTTAATGGGCACATAGACAAAAATTCCATTGCTGTACAGCCGGGGTTCGAACCTTCGACCTCAGGGATGAGAGTCGCACGCTAAATCCTCCCTGAATAAAACGACACTGCTACTCTGAATATTATTAACAAAGGAATTATATTGTTTCAGGTGGAGTATTTTATTTGGATTGATGCTTATCGGCGTCGCATGCGCATCAGAAGAAGAAGACAATGTTCCTGATGCGGGAGTTGAAGAAGACGATGAAGAATTACAATTTGATCGCGAGGTAAACAAATTAATAAGGAAATATATAATATGTGGTTGCGTTTGATTATATGAATAACTTTTTGTGTAGATAACCAAAACAATTCTATAAATGGCGCCATAGTTGGACAAGATTAGCAGAACTAATAACAAAAAAATAAATCAATAGCTTAGGAGGAAAAGACACGTAAATTACTCAAGATACACAACGGCATTAAAGTCAACTGTAGCTATTAATATATTTACAATATTATTGACTATTATTAACGTAAAAGATATAATGACCAGTATCAAGGCTACGCAAATATCATTTATTAAAATAATAAAGGAGCAGGACAGGATTGAGTTTATCACAAACAACCTGAAATAGGTCTCATATCCTGAATGAACAATGTTTCAAGAAGGTTCGACTACAAAATACCATCCGTATCAGTTCGACGTCCGTCGTTCCACAACGCGTTCCTTAAGGCAGTTTTTGCTGCCCATTGAAGTATTTCCAAACCAATTCGACCTAGGGTCCTTCGCGAAAAGAGCCTATTAATTTTTAAAAGGCCGGCAACGCATTCCTCCTATTACATAAAAAAAACATTTATGCTGGACCTACCGAACATTTCAACTTTGCCTTTTTTACAATGTCATAAAAAAGAAATTGCACTCACGATATCTAAAGTGAAAGTGTCGAATTTTGTTTATTTTTTTACGGCTACTAAGCTATTAATGCAAGTTGTCACACGAAAGCGAATGAAAGTAAACGTTCACTTTAGTAAATTGGTTCCTTTCGAATAATTATATATAATGCTAGGACGTTTAGGGGTTTAGCACGCGTATAGATTAGAAGCGCTTCCAAGGCCTATTATTTCTTTAAATTGTGAAAAAATTATTTTTCAAACTCAAAATAACTTTTTTCATATAGGTAAAAAAGTACACTTATTAACGTTAGAAAATAAGTTAAATTGATTGTAAATTTACATTTACTACCAGTTCGCAAGTCAAGGGCGTACCTACAGCGGGCAAGAAGAACTGGCAAGAAACTTTCCGCAACTCTTTTTAATCGCTGTTTTGAGTCATACAAATTGTTTGAATTGGAGCAAATCAATCCCAAGGATTAGGATCATTTCATTCATCATTTAAATATTCGTCAAATGTATAAAAAGCTTTATTGATTAATTTAAAGCTATACTTATACGGTCTTACTAATAAAGAATTATGCACATCGTATAAGCCTGTTATAAGAAAAATGTTACTAATAATTCCTGAATTGACACGTTTGATGTATACGGCTGTTATAACAAGTGTCTGGTTTGTATGAAGACTTGTACAATGCTTATACAACGCCGAGGCCTAGTTTAACGGGTGTATAGGACATAAATTGCGTTATTTGGGGTATGTTCCGATATACACTGCGACCACTGTACAGAGTACCGTCAATTTAGTATACTGTGAAACCGTTTCTCTATAGCCAGCTATACTGGTTACAATTTAAAACGGAACGCAGTCCAGTATACTAGTCAGCTTCGTTTTTCGACACAGTTTTCAAATGAGTGCATCAAAGTTTTTCAATTCAACAAGAAAAACTATTATTGGAGTATTATCGCATTAAAAAATCTATATTAATATTAACTGTCAATTGAATTAATACTACAAAGAAAGTAAGTATTTTTTAATTAGAAAAAGTCTGTTTATCATAACTCAACTTATATTAACTTTCTGTATTACTTACAATGCAAAGGTTATGTAGGGTAAAAGTAAGGAGTTTTCTTTATAAAAATTAGTTATTAATTACTACAAATAAAAAACAATTCACAGCTAATGGAATACACAATAATTGGAATTGTGCTTGTTGGTGCCGTTGTTCGAGTATTACTTACACAGTCTAATAAACTCAATTTTCGTAAGTTTTCCATTGTTTCATTAATTAGTCCAAGCAATTCTTTAATTAGAATTTTAAATGTTTGTTATTAAACTGTAAGTTATATCAGCCGTTAGGCATTCAAGTGGTTTTGATTGATCACGTGATCAAAGCACTGCGAGTACCTTACCTCGAAAACGCCAGTGCTCGCAGTAGAAGTATAGCGGGGATTTGTGACGTCATATATTTCTCTAGGACGCTGCGGCTGTATACTGGCAGTCCATAGCGGAACGAATTTTTGAACAGTGGGAGCACTATACAGCCCTGCGATTCTGTAACTCACTTTTCGAACTCACACAGCGGTTTTCGCATCGGCGGTCGCTCTCAAATCAGTCGTGAAGCAGTCATTTTATGATTTGGCATTCTGAAAAGGTAGGAGCTGGTAGTTTATTTCAGCCATTTGCCTTAGTTTGGTTTCATGCTCTTCCTGCAAACACTGGAACACTGCCGTGTTGCGGAGTTTGGCACTTTCCACTATTTGAGATGCCTGAAAAATTTAAGTATGATCGTTGAATGAAATAGTCCTTTTCTCTATCACATTGATACTAACCTCTCCCAACTTTTGTACTGCAGAACGTGGCTTTTTATGTAAAATTCTAGTCCTCTTTGTCTGAATATAATGTTTTGGTTGCTAAAATAAATACAACTTACATTAGAATTATGACTTCTATCAGAATTATTAAGTCAAACGTCAATAAAACACGGCGGGTTGCCAGGGTAACAATAAATAAGGGTCGTTTAGTTATTCAACCAATACACATCGATTATTGGTCAAAGAGGTGTTTATGCCCTGTACAAGCTCTATTCACTGAATAACTATCACCTTGTTATAACTCATGCATAGTGATTTTTTATTAGTAAGACCTACTGTTTCCGGATCCCAAAAACTTCAAGCAATTTCTAACATAACCTAATCATAGGATAGGTCAATATTTCCTGCAAATATTTCTTAACCATATATAATATTGGATAAATTTTACTCATCATCAGCCTCTTTATTTGGTCCATTTCTGGACGTAGACCTTTTCCATTTTCCTCATTACGCCCTGCTCTAGCCTCTCTGTATCCACTAGAATCAACCTCCGTGATGTCGTCAGTCCAACTAGTCGATGGGAATACCCTCATATTTCGGAACAGCGCGTTCAGCTGTCCAGTGCCTTCTCTGGTAATATATCAATCACGTCGTATACATAAAACTGCATATACACACTTGGGCATTATCTCCTGCATAAACGGACAGTCGCCGAGATACGCCGCCTTTCCCGAATGTGTCTGAAATTTCTTTTCCAACACACGCATAATTCCTTTGCCTTTATACAGGTTTTATTTTACTATATTACATTAGATATTTAAATAGACAGGCTATGTAAATTAGCATTCGTCATAAACAAGTCCGTTTGTCAATACTGGCGTGGGAAAATACTACCTGACCTATCCTACTGAATCTCTACATTCTAGGAATGTACAGTTTTCTTATATATGCAAAAAACCAGACACAGTGTTGGGACATATACATACACATAAGGAAAGTCAACACAAACTAGTTTTACGGAAATGGAAAATACCATTCACATTGGTTAATGTGTATTAGAATTATAATTTATATATGTTTTAATTTCTCTGGTTTGTTCCATTAGTTTTGTCTAAATAATTATGTCTTATGTAGTTTTGAGCAGTGTTGGCCTAGTGGCTTCAGCGTGCGACTCTCGTACCTGAGGTCGTAGGTTCGATCCCCGGCTGTGCACCAATGGACTTTCTTTCTATGTGCGCATTTAACATTTGCTCGAACGGTGAAGAAAAACATCGTGAGGAAACCGACATGTCTTAGACCCAAAAAGTCGACGGCGTGTATCAGGCACTGGAGGCTGATCACCTACTTGCCGATTAGATTAACAAATGATTATGAAACAGATACAGAAATCTGAGGCCAAGACCTAAAGAGGTTGTAGCGCAACTGATTTTTTTTAATGTAGTTTTGCACTTCTTGCGCTCACCACAATTAAATTTGTTTTCACATAGTAGTTGCCTGGAAGAGATCCCTCGATTATAAAATTTTAATCATTACTTGGTCATACTTAACCTACAATCTAAGAAAACGTCGCTTGTTAAAATATATTCACTCATTATTGTTTAAACTAACCATAGTTTATACAAAACAGAAAACATCGAAATCAAGCTGCACGATGATCGTTATTTAATTGACCATAGACGAATATAAAATAAATACAACTGTTAACATATTACAAACCTTCCTACGCGTAATGATTAATTACAAATGCATGGCAATGATTCCAAAACAAGACGTGGGCTTCATCAAATAAGATCATTTCGTAAGTTTAAAGTCTGAGTTTCAACAGGCCTAAGGCCTATTGTTAACTGTAGTTATGTAAAACATTTGTCACCCGGTAAAGTGAGTCATAAATTAAACGCAATCAAATAATACAATGAAGGTTTAGTTCAACAATCCTTTCAATTTTGTATTTATATCTTAGGAAAGGTTGGAAAAAGTTATTTTAGACTCTACTCTTCCGAGACAATTAGTTTCCTGTCCTTTTTAATAAAACAACACAATAAATATGAATAATTATTACTTTCGATTCCTAAATTAATACAAACTTAATCAAAATCATCTTAACTCCAAATTAACCCTAGATAAGCCCATAGGCTTAATTATTAATAAAGCCTACCGTATGTTAGGTTTCATAACGCGAGTCACCAGACCTTCACACATTCACCTCTATAAGTCGTTTGTACAGTCCCAGTTGGAGTACGCCTGTCCAATCTGGAATCCCCATTACTCTATATTTGTTGCACAACTGGAGGCTGTACAAAATAAATTTTTACGTATTCTAAAATTATCGTATGAATGGTGGTAGGGAACTTTTAAAAAAATATAAATTACTTTCTTTGAGTACTAGGCGTAATTTGACAGATTGTGTCACCATTAGAAAATTATGCGTACATGAAATAACTTGTTCCCATCTTCTCGAACTGATAAAATTTAATGTTCCTGCCAGATGTCTGCGCTCGCACAGAACTTTTAACCTTCCGACTCCCGGAACCGACATTCTGCCACTAACATTGACCCTTTTTCGCACTCCTCTACTGCTCCATTTAAGAATAAGTTAAAACTCTTAATGTCTTAAGCCTTGTTTTAATTTATAAATTTTGTGCTGTCATGTTTTGTCTTGTTTTACTTTGTATTATATTTTTTATCAGTGAAAATTTTTGTGGATATGTCCAATGTGTTTATTTTATGTTTTACTTTTATTTTATTTTTACTGTACAGAGATGTATCTGTTTAGTTTCCTTAATAAATAAATATAACGTATGGGTTTGAAGGCTCGAATCTGAAGTATTAAAATTTGATATGAATCATGTTCTTATCTAGTTTCTTTCCATATCTAGGAGTCCCGAAATGTAAGGCCGAGAGCATATAACACACCCGTGGCCTACCCGAACACGCTGCCTAGTGGTTTTCGACCAACGCCATCTCTTGCTGAGCTTGCGGGCTACCAGCGTGCCCAAGAGCAGCAGGAGTACATAGTTCCCACCCGACCTCAGCAGCAAGTCTACATTGAAGAGCAACGACAACCTATTAGGACACCTCACAGGAAGGTAATTAAACCGCCTCGTGTAAATTTTAATTAAGTTTACCAATTAAACTGCCATATGTCACAGGCAATAAATACATTTGAACACCAGAATTGTATACTAACGTTTTATAAGCATTTTTTATAAATTCATTTTTATTGTAGGTCCCTTAAATGCTTGTTCTCGAGTTTGCTATCCATACCCTTATCACTTGAGATTTTCGCCGAGCCAGATAACAAAAACATATTAATAGGGCCTATTATCGTCGCGTCGGCTGTTAATCTTTTTTTGTGCCATAGATATTATGATGTTACAAATGTTCTTATTAAAAACTTTAAAGTATATATTTAAATAAATTTGTATACTTAATATTTAACACATTTCGGTTCACATTAGACTATATAAAAATTCTATACAAATCTTCAAATTGTAACATCCGTCTCTCAGCCTCAGGACCAACGTCCAGCTAAGTTCCAACAATCTCTGGAAGAAGAGGAAGAATTAGAAGAAAAGGAAGTGCCAGACCGCCTTTCAACTCTCTTACAGCAGTCAAAGTTTGACTGTGGCACTCGGAAGTCAGGATACTATGCAGATGAGGAGCTGAATTGTGAAGTGTTCCACTACTGCCAGGATAATGTTAAACACTCCTGGATTTGCCCAGATGGATTCACTTTCCATCAAGTATGTAACTCTAATTTAATTTTAGAATAATTACTTAATTAAAAATATGATAAACTCAACAAAATCTATCTTACAGGTTCACCTAATTTGCATGCCACCAAACCACGACAATATCTGTCAAAGATCGTCCAAGTACCACTTTGTCAATGAATACCTTTACAAGCCTATCAACGAAGAGGAAGTCCAAAGGAAACCTAACTCTCCTCTGCGTTACTCCGAGAGGTACTACCCTTCCGAGGTCTATAATGATGACAGATATGAAAGGGAGGATGACGAAGAGGTGAGATTCTATAACTATAGTATTTAAATTTAAGCATTCGTGTCTCATAAAACTTTGTTAATTTGTTATGAATACTCCAACAAGCAACTATTGTAATGCATTGTACTTCAGGTTTCTGAATATAAATTAAATAGTAAACTACATAATTCAGCTTTACGGTTGCTATAAATATTTATTAGGCGCAAAAATGTTGAAGATAAAACTTAAAAATTACATTAATTACAATTACAGGAACAAGACCCTAATAGACAGCAAGCTGCACAAATCCAAGAAAGACCACATCAGAGACAGCAATTCCAGCCCCAGGTCTTCAGATCAGCTGAAGAAGTCAATATACCTTTAGTCCAAAGACGTCCCCAACGTCCTTATGACTTTGAACAGTAAACTATATTTCTTATATAATAAAATTGTTCAATTATTTCCAAATGCTAAATTAGCCAACCTAAAACGGTCAATTTCAATTTAAAATCACTATTCTTAAGTAACACCTAAAATTAGGGATTGATCTTTAAAATCGGAAGTAACCGTTTCATGAGCATTTGGGAAAAGTTTAAATTATTGTCAAAATATTATTTGGTGCTCAAGATATAATTTAAAACTTTTAAATACTTATTTTAAGTATAATTTAATAGTTTACGTACTTATTTATGACACTGTACAATAAAGTATTTTTGTAATAATATTTTGTAAATTACAAATTAGATATAAGCTAGTCTGCTAGAGCTAAGAAATAAAAGTTTATTAAAAAATAATATGAGTTTTACTGCTAGAAGACAAAACTTCCTAAAAAAATCCTTTATATTGATATCATGTGTTCTGTATGTAGTCTGTGTTCTCAAGTAGTCTGTCCTATGTTGAATGATCTATCAACCATGAAGGAAATGTAGCATAAAGTCAAAACTATTGCCATAATATTAAAAAAAAAAAAAAAGGAAATGTATTTGCATTGATGTTTGCCATCGACTTATCAAATAACATTTTAACACGACACTGGCGAAGTACCTTGTGCCCAGGGGGCCTACCATGAACTCTTATTGCGAGCCTATTGACAACCTACAACTGAGACGCATCGCTAATTCGTACCATGACATCGAAAAAACGAGACAGTTTAGGTTCCCACGTGACCTTAGCGGTTATCAGATTTCGTTCGTTCAATTTGTATGAAAATCCGTACCATGACCGCTCGGCTGAACCGAAATTTGACAGTTGCGCCTTCCAACTATGACAGAATAAGCGATTCTAAAAAAGTTACTTTTTGTCCAACTTTTTTGTATCGAAATGTCCAAATAATAGTTAAGAACCTATAGATATATATAGTATACTGTATAGTATGTATCTACTATGTCTGTTTCGGATAATTTGAGGTATTTTGAGTTTAGAAAGTGTCATTATAAATTAATTATTAAAATATCGACGGAGATGAGAAACAAGACGGCAATGCCCTTCTACCTACTTCGTAGATATCGAGTTTATATTTTGCTATAGATTAACGACTTTGATTCGTTGAGGATTTTAGTGTACCTAAAAATAATTGCACAAGCTGTTCAATAATATTCAATTAATTATTTAGGCATGTCTAACACAAACATAATTCCCCAATATATCAGATTTTATAATAAATAAGCTTGCCATATCAATAGTAGATATTTATTATAATTAAATTTTTCCTCATTATGTTCATGATTTGATTGATTATCCTCTGCTTTTTGTTGTCTAAAAAAACATAGGTATTTTTATAACGTGTAAATAATAAGCCATTTGAAAATAATATAATAACAGTATTTATTTAGTAGATGACTCCATCAAGACAGAAAAGGGTGTCTTCAGGCAATGTTCAATTGGATATAACCATATATTCATATATTTCGTTCTCTCAATTCAGCGAGTTTGTCAGGTTTAAGCTGTAAAGAAAATATAATTACATATTTATATTATATGAATTAGTTAACGTATAAACTAAATTTGTACAATTTGAAGGAAATAATTTTTATTATGATTTTCGAATATTAAGTTGATTTGTAATATCTTTTGCAAAGAGTTTTATCAGGAATTAACTTCGATATAGGTATTTATTTTTAATCAACAAATTTGTGAACAATACTTACCCCCTCATATTATTTAATAAGTGAAACAATTTGTAAAACTATAGTTATAAAACTGAAATTTTGTAAACACCAAAATATTGAAAGCTCCTATCAAAATTTGACGGAAACGTTTAAAAATAATAAGTGTCCACTGTCATAGCACCAGAAAACTGTTGAAAATATATCAAAAGAGTAGTTTTATATATTAAATAAATAAATATATTAAGACATAATAGCTTATTATGATTGATGAATTATTGAAAACAATTTTATATTTTATTTATTTTTATAGAAACATCTGTCAAAGAAAGTTTGACAGTTAAATTTCAAAACTTACATAGAAACCTCAAATAAAATTATCGTTCTTTCATTCGGTCTTGCGATGCAAATACGTTTCAGCTTATAGGCGGTCATGGTACGAAAAAATGCTATTGACTTTAGGTACCTAAACTCAACTGCATCTCAACTGGATTGTTTTAAGAAAGTTCATGGTAGGCCCCCAGTTGGCACAAATAAAAGCCATTTATAAAAAAAATAACATTTTATGACAATTTGACAACTGTCAATCTGTTAAGTGTAATGTTAATTGTTATCGTATCATACCGCCGACCGCGTAACGCGTTAGTAGTGGCGGTAGTTGGCTTTTATATCCCTTAAATATTTAATATGTGAAGAAGTTAGTGAAAATGAATTCTACCGAGTATAAACTATACCATGAATCGCAGATGAAAAATAATAATGGTTCTAATGCAGTCCATACGTTCTTTTGCATTTTCTTTACAGTTCAGTGTACTTTATTGTGTGCAATTCAAGAAAAGAAACAGTTGCCTTTGCAATATTTATATGAATATATTGTAATAGTTCTTCCTTTAATTTTAGCACATACTCTGCTGGCAGAATATATTTATCATCTTAACATTATCATAATGATAGTGTTACTTTACAATGTTGTAAACTTAAACATTCCTAAAATGTTAGAAATTTTAAATGATTCTAATAGAATATCTAGAAAAAGATTACATACTATAACATCTTTGAGGGGGTTAACATATTTAATAACTGCTGTAGCTATATTAGCAGTCGATTTCAAACATTTCCCGCGCTATTTGGCAAAAACGGAAATGTATGGCTATAGTTTGATGGACACAGGTGTTGGTTTATTTGTTTTAATGAGTGGCCTGGTACATAGAGATTTTCAAAATGATAATTTATTAAAAATTGGTAAAAGTAACTTCAAAGTTATTTCAATACTTTTAATACTTGGTATTGGGAGGTTTGTCTCAATAAAACAAATGAATTACCATGAGCATGTGACAGAGTATGGTGTTCACTGGAACTTCTTTTTTTACTCTAGCCTTTTGTAAACTTATCTCAACCATGTTCCTTCTAGCATCAAATAACCCTTTGTTTTTGAGTATTATTACAATTTTTATTCATGAAATTTTATTGTATAACAGCTTGGAAGAATGGGTATTCAATGGTTCCCTACGTTTAACACTTATAGATGCTAATCGTGAAGGTATTTCATCTAACCTGGGTTATGTCTGTTTATATTTATTTGCAGTTCATATAAAAAAGTTGTTACTCAAAGAAAATAAAAGCCCTTTAAAAAAATTGGTCAGCTACACCATAGCCTCACTTTTTCTAGCATATTTTGTTAATTTATTCAGACCAACATCAAGAACCTTAGCTAATGCAGGTTACATTCTATTTTTAATATCTGTATTGTTAGTCATTCTATCCCTTTTGTTATTTTTTGAAATATGTCTAGAAAATAAAAAAGTTTTTCAGTCTCCACTTATTGTGTCAGCTATAAATGACAATGGTTTAATTTACTTTCTAATATGTAATATATCGACAGGGCTAGTAAATTTAATGTTTCAAACATTATTGTTGTCAGCTGGCAACACTTTTGTTATATTAAATATTTATATGGTATCTACAATATTTGTTACAGTTTTATTGAATAAATTGGACATTAAAATTTAAAACACTTTAATTAACCATGTTTCATTTAACATTATTAATCAGAAACATCTTATATAAGAATACAGGCAATGTAAAAATAGAAAACAGTTTCACTGGCTCGTTGTGGCGCAATAAATCACTCTTTTGGTAAATCAAATTTTAAATAAGCTAGCTTCCTAATCAATTAGGACAAATATTTTGACCTTTATATAAATTGGTCCTGAAATCAAGTTTTAAAACATGACATACTAAATGAATACCCTGTTATTGAAATGTGGATAATATCTAAGAAATAAATAAAAATAGGCTGTCATATCAGTCTTATGGATAACTAAGTGCGCTGTAGTAAAAACTGCTTATCTTCAGTTGTTGTTTTTACTATATTGGAGAACTTCGATAATATTCTTATAAAACAGTATAATAAGGTATATCCAATGAGAATGACAAGCATTAATAAATAAAAAAATAAATAGGGAAATCTAGCAGGAGACCAGAAGACAGTGTACTTTAGTTGCTGGTTATTCTTTTCTGGAAATAAAAAACACACTTTAAAAGATAAGATTAAGAAATATTTTAATAGCAAACAAAATATAGTACAAAGTTTCTGTTTCTAAAATTATTATTTATCAGTTTTAATTGTCTCATGAAAATCTAGTTACCAAAGAATTCCATCAAATTGCTATTCTCAAATATACTTTATATAGTAAGTATCATCTAGGACCATAATATCAACTCACCAACTACAGCAGCACCAAATCCAATCTTGCTTGTTCCCATTCTGTATGAGCATGTAGGTACATAGATTTCATAAAGCCAATCGTCAACAAAGGATTTAGAGAAAACTGGATCATTGTAACTAAGTAAATGTGTCTCCTTTGATGCATAATCCTTTTTAAATTTTACATATTTTGATTTATGCTCATGAGCACAAAAAAATATGTCAGGGTGTATAGAATTGATAACCTGTAATTTAGATTAATTGTCATAGTCAATGTAAGTCACTCATACATAATGTAACATTTGAAAATAGTACATCATGGAAAGTTGGTTTCCATTTACCTTACTAATGATTAAACTAAAAGTCATGCCCCTAAAACAGATTTCACATACCTGTTTAGCATATGCTGTTCTTTCAATTACTGGATAGTGGGAGATAGCAATTTTAAAGTTTAAATCATTCTCAAGAGGCTGTGGTACAGAGTATGTGATTGTGCTAACTTTGTAAAATGAAATGTTTTTAAATACTATGACATTTGGTTGTGAATACACTGTTCTAAATTCTTCAATTTTATCATGTTTTATTGGCTCATTTTCACCTCCAATATCATTGTCTCCTGGTATCCAGACTTGCTGTAACATCAATTTTAGAGATTTGTTTATGCACATAGATAAAAAATTCATTCTACATGAAAAATGTAATACTAAAATGTTCATTACCACAACAGGGTAACGTGAATCAAAGATTTCTGATAATCTTTTAACATAGCCATGGAACTGGGCCCTTGTTGAAATACTCCCTTCATCCATTAGATCTCCAAGGTAAACAAGGATATCAGGACGAAAATAGTTTTCGACAATTGAAAATGTAGACTTTAAATATCTGAAATAACATTGTATGCAAAAAAATTAAGACTACAATTTATTTAATAAAAGAAGTGAGACTATTAGTAGTTGCTGTGGTAGTTGTTAGTTATTAACCTGGAATTTTTTTATTGGATCCTACCAATGCTAATTGTATTACAAAAGTTTTAAAAATATCTATATTTATAAATGATTAAATACCTATCACTATCCCAGTTGAAAAGAAAGCTAAGTGGGGGTGGTACAGCTAATTCTCCCTGTATTTGTGGATCTGCGATAAATAATATTTTGGTGCATGATTGCTCTGATTCACACTGCAAGTTTTTCCAAAAAAGGGGCTGTATCTTGTAGACAAACCATTCACTGTACAAAACACCTCCAAGACATGACGCTAGTAGATACTTTAGCACAGAACTGAAAATATATGACAAAAAAACTCATAAATTAAACCAATATATGTATTATTCACAGATGGAAAATATCCTTAGTAAATTTTCTACCTTCTTCGTAAATACATGGGGAATTTTATCTAATATAATGTACTTAGGCATGTGACTAAAATCAAAGTAAGAATAAGATATTATCTACTATCACAAATATTTTTGCTGATTTGTTTACATTTGATTTGGGATTGGGAATTTAGAACTTTCTGTTCTCGGTCGCTTTTCGGCATAGAGTATATTAGATAGTTATGCATTCGATAAAAATCACAGATTACTTAAAGGTACAGCATCCATCTCATCATCAAATCATAAATGTCATTAGTGAATGTGCGTTTTCCAATTACAGAGCATTTTTCGACTCAGTGCCGCACAATGCCGCATAATGCTGAAGCTTAATTGGAACGTGAATTAGTTTTCAAATGCATCAGCAGAGTGCGCTAAGTCAGTGTTGACAAAAAAATGGTCTGAATAGAGTTAGCAACCTCATTAATGTATAAATAATGTGGTAAACAATAATAATTGGTTGAAAACTTTTTACGCTTAATTTAATAATCAAATTATTTCATTAAATTTTTTTTACTGAAATAAGAGAAAACCTTTAAAGAATATAAGGTTTTAACAAGCTAAATTAACAGTAAAATATTTAGTTTCATGTAAGAAGTTTACATCATTTACGTTTTGAGTAATATTTTTTAATGATTTCTAAAAAAATATATACTTTTTCAAAACCATTGCAATTTTTTCTAAAGTATAATCCTGTAAAGTAAATTTGTTTACAGATCCGAATTTTAAAATAAAATTGTATTCATATTTTAAATGTGGAATATAAAAAAAGTAACTATTTATACCTTCATCCATACTAATATTTATTTTTTTAGCAGTTTGAAATAACTTTAATTATTTTCAAAATCTACGACGAAACGAAAGCCTTCTGCCTTCTGCCTTACAAATTTTTCAACAATAAATAATATTTACTAACGAAAATTTCGATAAATGCCAACTTAAAGAAATATACTGGTGAATTTTCTGTCAATGTGTTGGTATTGTTTGCGAGAGCATTCGTTTTGAGAGTGCTCAATTGTGCGAAGCGTTGCTGTAGTTGGAACACTCAACGTTGAGCATTATGCCGCAAAATGCGCTCTAGTGCTGTAATTGGAAAACGCACAAGGTCACGCACTTATTTAGGGTCACAGACGTGTGCTCTAATTCATCTGTGCCCGGAAATGCGTACATAATATTATTATAATATTATTATTATATAATTATAATGCCTAGTATATAGTTAATAGTGTAGGGATGTGACATTCTGCATACAAAATCGATTATTTTTTTAGCATCAAAAATCGATTATTTTATCAATAGATTTTTTCCAAATTTTTGAATTAATTTCTAAAGAAACACCCTAAATATGTTAGTTTTCATGGTTTTTTTAATTAAAAATAAACAATAGCTTATAAACACAAATTAACGTTTAAGAATAATCAAAATGGTAATTAACTTAATCTCGTTTTGATAGATTTTAGGTGAAATTTGGTAAATGCTGAGTGTATACCTTTTCAGTAGCACATTACAGTATTTTTGTTGTCTTTTTAATTGTATGTAATCTTGTGCTGCTGAATAAATTAATTTTACTTTTAAATTATAGTGTTCCATTCAAACTTGAGTTTTTGTAAAATTAACTGACTTTATATTTCTTTGGGGGATACTCTTCTTTAATAAAATCCCAGAGGCTCTTTTATCTCTGCCTTTCAATAAATTTAAGAAATGCATTAAAGAAAAGCTGTGTAAAAAGGCTTACTATAAAGTCAACGATTATCTAGTTGATAAAAGGGCCTGGGACTAGTGCTAGACAGGCAACTTCTAATCAACTTGCGAGTTTTTTACGCCGGCTTTTTCTCTCGGCCTACACCCTCTGTCTTCTTTGTCGATGAGTAGGGATGCCTACAAATTCAAATTTAATGACGTGGAAAAAGTGATACATGTATCTTATGTTCCTTAATAAACATATGTTTTTTTTTTATCATCCTTTCGATGTTTTACAAAAACACATCAATTCATCGAGTATATCAATACATCTTTAAAGAATCGGATTCAATGTATCGCATTGTAAGCATCGATGTACATCGAATATCCCTAATAGTTCGAGGTCCAGGTTATAAAAGACCAGACATATTGTCGGGAGGTGGCAGATGAAAAATCGACTATGATTGATTTTCAATTGTAAAAATAATCGATTATTTTAAATATAAAAATCGCGTAAAACAATCGATTTTTTTAATAATCGATTATTTTTTCACATCCCAAGGCTAGTGCGGCAGTAGAGCTATGAGATGAGAAAAAGTTCTAGTAAAATTTTGTTAAAATTCATTTATTATATCTCTCGGTATAAATTAATATTTTTATTTCGAATGTGACAAAGAATATTTTTTTGTCTCTTAATACATATCATATATTATGTACTTCCTTATACAAATACTATTTATACATTTACAACTACTTAATTATTACTTACTTACTTACAAAGACAATATAAAATCATAACTACAACATTTCCATGATGTCAACTGTATGAAAGTGTTATACTATAATTATATGCTATACTATATACGTATATGTAAGAACTAAGAAGTGTTCTTGAACATGGTTTCTCGGTGTGGTCACCTAGTTACACAGTACACAAAGAAAAAATTGAAAAGATCTAAAACGACTTTATAAAATTTATCTCCTATAAAACCTATAAAGACGCGTGTGAACATTTTAAAATTCATACTTTAGACTCTCGACGAAAACAATACGATTTATTGCTACTACATGACAGCATCTCAAATAATATTAATTGCAGCTCCTTTCTAGAAAAGTTGCCCTTCCTTGTTCCTGCCTACCAGACTAGTAAATAGTAATCGTGCTTTGTTTCTTGTTCCTCACATCAACAATATTAGCTATTCAAAAACTCAGTTTTGCATCGCGCAGCCCAGACATACAACGACCAATTTTTAGGCCTTGATTTTTTCATGCTATCGCGGAATATGGTTAAAAGGAGTATTAAGAATATCCATAGCGCAAAATCACCTGCATCATGAGTCTTACCCACATACACACCTTCACGTACTTACCCTCACTTTTACACCATCACATACTTACCCTCACTTTTACACCATCACACTACACAGTACACAGCCAAATTAGGTACCACAGACCACTTAGTTAATGTAATTAATGTTTTTGTATAAATCATTGTTGTTAGCTGTAGGATTACTAAATAAATAAATAACCAAAAAGATTGAAAGCATCGTCCCAGCAGTTATCAGATAGATACCAACAAATTTTAATTATGTAATAAACAAAAATAGGACAAAATATAACTTTTTTTTTCAGTTAAGTTAAGCTTTTAACTAAACTACATATGGTTATATTTATTACTCTCACAGAGATTAAATTTTGTCTCTAATCTCTGAATTATGATTAAGTTAAAATAATATATTATATATTTTTAACATAGTTTATATACAGCATACTGTTAAGTTTTTTATGGTTCAAAATACAAATTTATGGATTATTACTAGTTTAATTAGTAGTAATAGGTAATATTTTGTTCTTTATATTATATATTTCTTCGCATCTGTACTACGTTAGACTATGTTAGCGTTTAATGTTTATATACTCTTTTTATAATACTGTGGCGGTTTGACAGCTCAACACCGTGCCTCTTGTTAGCTTTCTGAGATCGCGTATGTAATAATTTTATTTTGTAATATCTTTTGATATACGTATGAGAAATAACATGTATTTCGTAGTAAAATTAGAGTATGTAGTTTCTTAGTTTATACTTAAGTGCACTTACAGTGTTACATAAATAGTAGAGTGGTAATTGAGTCGGCAATCCATGTCTACAACAATACGTCAGTAAATTAATGTTGGCTGATAGATAATGGATGTGGATACTCCTAACATATTGAAGAGGTGTAGTAGTGCACCTTTGATCAATGAGGCTGCATCAACGACAGCAACTTCACCTACGACCAGTACTGCACCCAGGTAATGTAATTGAAATATGCCTCCCACGTCGGAATCAGTCGCTAAGCTACTTGCCTATTTTTGACACCTGCTATGCGAGCTTATGGGTGACATGTACGTATTTAGCCTTGCAATTAGTCGCTGCATGTTCCATGCATTATATATTCATAGTATGCAAAATTAAGTTTGATAAAAATGAAATTGTTTGTGATATGTTGATAAGGCAATCATTGGCATGGGTCATTAAATTGATAAAACTTTTCATAAGTTTTCACAAATTCTCTAGAGTATTTAAACCCTTGAACTTGGTAAATATGTTTGTTGTATTTTAATCAATGGAACTTTATTATAACTTATTTTAAATGACAAGACATAACTAACACAAACACTAATCAGAAAACACTTTTGGTAATTATATTTGGAAATTATTACATGGTTATTTTCAATTAATCTGATATAAAATCTAATTTAAAATTCAGATTTCTATAATATGTAACAACAGTAATTTTTATGACACCCACACACAGCAGTTGAAGATGTAAAGACACTAAAACATCTTTTGATTACAACTCATGAATTTGTTAACTATTGTTATTAAAACACATTATCTCTACTGAAGACAGTTTACAAACAATAAAAATGTTGTTTAAATTATAGATATTTATGCCATATAGCTGTGATTATGTTCTGTTGAATGTTTTGATAATTGAAGTTTAGTATTTTAATAAAAATGTTGTCACTAAAACTAACTTACAACTTGGTTTTAAATACTTTTAACTAATAGTTATTAAATTCAGTAGTGTATGTGTGTGTAAGTATATCTTTATTTTCTTTTAATCTAAGAATAATGCATTTTAACCCTTAGTGTTTACTTTGTAAATAATCATAAGAAATTCATAGCCATATTACATAATCAGTAGTTTCAAGACTTCCAGCTGACAAGGTAATAAGAATAATTATGATAATAAAGGATAATTAATTACTTTATTAAAACAAAAATATAGCATTAATATGATGAATTGTTGAATGGTATGTTGCAAGGCAATTGTAGTTTGTAGTATCTATTCTAAAATATGTGTGCAGTAAGCAATCAGTGCAGATATTATTATTCAATTTCATTTAATTGACAGAATCCTGTATCTTGCCTTAGATCACATATAAATTTTATCCTTAAATCTCGTATTACAGTATTAATAAAGAGTTTTATTCTTTCAGGAGTACATCATTTTTCGGAATGTTCTCCAATAACAGCCTCCCTCGGACGCGTAGCAACAGCATCAGTTGCAGCCCACTTTCAGCGGCTATTAATATACCAGTGAGTACCTAGACTATCTAATAATCTACAGAAATGAACAGTGGAATAATATAATTGAAGACATCATTAAATTAAAAGAATGCAAGTAAGTAAGTGCAAGAAAGCAGATATGAGAGTGTTTTGCGGACAATATGTTGCATATCATATGTTTCATTAAAATTAAAGTAAAAACTTATACTAAATTTGACTTGGTTCTTTCTTTTATCGTAACCTTTTGAAATTGAGAGCATGTATTTGAGAGTGTAGATAAGAGTTGTTATAAGCGTGCGCTGTGTCTGGGTTAGTTTTTGGCACCTCAAAGTCATGTCAAGATACATAGTAAGACCTCTGTAGATTACAATATATAAAGTGAACTATTTCTTTAAATACTCTTTGTTATGAATTAACAATAACCTTCACTGTTAGATATTACAGGGTTCGTGTGCGCGGCGATTAACACCCCGAGTGAATCAACTGCGTGCTGAAGAATGTGCTGATGTCAGCAATCAGCGTGAAGTTGCGCACGAGCGTGAAGTGCACAGTGCAATGCAAATGGGACAGTCATATGAAGATCTTACTCTTGTCGGTGGACCAGCTAATTCACCTACACGGATCCCTAGGTAGGATTTTTAAATACAGTAGTATTTTTATGTGTGATTGTTAAAGTTTTAGTCAAAGTATACAATATACATAGATATATGCATGTCAACCAAATATCCATTGATACTCCTTTATAAAAATCGAACCGATTGATTAAACTTGTACTGTTTCCTATGATGGAGAATATTTGGATCATTTCGGTATTACATATTTGTAGTTTCCGAGAAATAAGTGGACAAACATAGAAACATACTTACATGTAAATTATTGTACTGAAATATGGATAACATTTCAATAATATCACATACATACAGGTCACAGGTCAAGCTTATAACATCCTTTTTGAAGTTGGTTGAAAATAGAAATATTTGTCTGTCAATTAATAATTATATTGCAAAAAAGGCTTTAATAACAGTCTTTTTAAAAATTACAATCAAGCAAACTATGTTCATTACTAAGTATAATTAAAAATGTCACACATTTTTATACAGATAAAATGTATCCTGAAATGCTATTTCACATTTCAAGGATATCTTCAAAAGAAAATTCTATCTATTCTTTTCTATTATGTGGCCAAGTTTTTTAATGTTTATTTGTAATAAAAGTTAAACGTCGGGCTTGTTACTAAAACTAAATGCCTGTAATGATATATCAAATTTTTTCACTTGAATAGCTTTTTGTTTGGTATATCTCCAAGTAGCTGCACTGAGTATATCTTTCCAGCCATGATGTAGCTATATATGTAAATTATGCTAAGTCGACTAAATCCTTAATATATCGATTTTTCTATAATGAAAACAATCTTTGTTATAGGTTTTCCACAGTGGTATCCCCATCACCGCCCCGGAAATACACGACTCGCCGCAGTTTATCCCCGAACCCCATCAGAGCGTCGAGTTTCAGCCCCATCCGGCCCAATGCACTCATTGGCAAACGGCGCTGCGACGACGGGGAACAGTCGCTGTCGAAACGAATGTGCACTGACCGGTTAACGCCTTCTACTCCCGGTAAAAATATTTAAATATTCTATTTATTATTCTGGCTATTATGATTTTGTTGCTAGCTTAAAAGCGGCAAACCACTTGTGAGCCTTTTGGCAGTGTGAATGTCCATGGGCGGGCGGTATCATTAAACACAAAATAATAATTTTAATTTTCTCACATAGATATAATTTAAAAAAAAAGAAATATTTGCATTTTTGTTTTTGTCCTAATATCAGTTGACAAGCAGAATGACAAAAATTTATCTTTATATATTGGATCCAAAGACTTGACCTTGCTGCAGCAGCTTTTTTTTAATTATTTTCCAGGTGAAATATGGGGAAGAGGGTCTTTTGTTTTTTTTTAACATTACATTTATGTGAGAAAATTTAAGATTATTTTACATCCCCTGCGAATCGAAATTTCAGATGGAAATAATAATTGTTTGTGTTAGTTTAGAATCATTGAATTGATTTGAATATTGCTTCCTAAACCTCTTTATGTATCTTTCAGGAACACCAGATTCAGACTCCTCCGAGTGCACCTTCCGACCGGTCTCTCCCCGGGGACAGCCGATGAGTGAATCGGAGCACACAAATCATAAAGCGAGCCCCAGCTAATACCTAATAGGACAATGTATGGTTTTATTGGAAAGGTCTCTATGGAAAGGTAGAACCATAAAATTCCGATGGGTCGGTACTGTAGCTTTAGAAATTTTGATAGGACTCTGACAAGTGCAATACTGGAAGATCGACCTTGGAGAAATTTTGGAGGCCTAAATGGTTTGTGAACTTTCTGGTGCATTTGATGGTGAATTGAAGTTGTAAGGGTTGTAGATTTTGATACAAATTAAGTAAAAAATACTGATAAATTGTGAACTCCACTTTACACAGATCAGGAATGTTGACTTGTATGAGATTCCTAGCCAAATTAGATATATACTAACCCAGTGTAAATAAGTAACAGTTTTAATGGTAAATGGTTTTTACCCAGATCGCATCAATTCACCCCTCGTGGCGTTAAGTTCCTAATAAAACATAGTAGGAATGTAAGCGAGTGCCCATTTATAGCCAAAGCATCAAAAACTTTATTGTACATATATAAAGCTTGTACATAGCGGTAGTGTTAAGGATTATAGCCATTATTTAAGTTTTTTTTGGGCCAATTCGCTCATGTCATCCCGCCTTTCCATATAGATATATGGCGCTTGTAATAGAAAACTTTGGGCAGCTTTCGAAAGAAACTTGCTAAACGCGTACGCGGTTCGTATACGCGTATACGTTTGGAATACGCGTACACGTATACGCGTAACGTTTATGTGTAGGAGTGCTAGCGTCTTGTAAGTAAAACTGGATTAAAAACTAACCAGTGGCCTGCAATTTTATTTTAACGCTATATAAAATATTGAAAATTAGACAATAAAATTAATGTACTGGTGCATAAGCATTTAAAATTGTAGTTATTGAAATTACCATGTTTTTGTCAAATATCTGAAACTTCAATACAAGACAAGAATGTAATATGATGTAACAGTATTATTTCAATTTGGCATTTTGAGTGGTTATTATTTTTAAAAGATGAAAAATATCGCTTGCGCCGGGGTTACTAGTATATAACATAATATATATATGTATATTAAATTAAAGCAATTTTTTCCTATTCGACGATATGAAACATTGTTATGTATTTAATGTAAAAAGTTTAAAAAAATTACGTATGTCTAGTGTTTCCCTACCTTGTTTCTTTTGTGCCTTTCCCCACCTCAGCCTTGATAAAATTCCTATCCCCCCTATTAAATTATGTATTAATCTATATATATAAAAGAAAAATGGTCTTCGTTTGAGGCTCCTTCACGCCTAAACCACTGATCGTATCGACATGAAACTACCACCATTCGATGCGAAATTTTTATTTATTTATTAAATTCCAACGTTCCTTCATTTTTTTATTGCTGTTTTACTTTTATAAAAATTTATCCATACGGACTTCACCGCGGAAACATTCGGGGAGGCTTCCTAGAACCTCTAAACGTCAACATCTGTTAAAAACTCGATTTTCGAAATATTTCAATTTTCTTAGCGGGAAGTTAAAAAGAAGAATAATAAAAATATGAAAAAAAATAAAATAATGAAACATAAAATTTATTTTAATTCGTCCAGCAAAGCGGGCGCGAAACGGCTAGTATACATATAAAAAAATAATTGTTCACTTAAGAAACTTAAATAATAGTAGGAAATCGGTAGAAAATTGTTAACAGTAAGTAAATTTATAATTGTAATAATATAATTATAGCCTCTTTTCGGACATGACAATATTTTCTTTATTTTTCGTAGATTGTTCTTTTGTCCACTTTTGCGTGTCCGTTTGCCAGGTGGGTAAGGCCTGCTCCAATCTTCTCCATTCTGGCCTTTCTATGGCCACTCTAACCCATGTTGTTCCCGCGACTTGTCTAATGTCGTCGTCCCACCTTTTTTTTTGGTCTACCTCTCTTTCTCATTCCATCTCTTGGGTACCAGTGTGTGATTATTTTACTCCACACCACCGCCACATGATAAGTCTTTCTTCTGATGTTGCTACTCCTTACTTTGTCTTTTCTTTTGACCCAGTCCTGCTCCTTTCCATGGCATTTTGACATACGGAGAGTTTATTTGTTACGTTTTTTGTTAAAGTAAATTTACAAAACATAATGAAAAACTTCGAGTCCATATTTACAAATTGCCCCCCCCCCCCAAACAATCAAATTGCCCACCTGTGGGGTGAGGAACCACGTTCCCACGTTGGGAAGCACTGGTCTAGAACGTAAAACTAGCTGACCCGGCAAACGTTGTTTTGCCATGTATATTATTTCTAGGAATTTTTTTTAAGTTCAATAAAATTAACTATTTTCTATAATAAAAAATAGGAGTTGATCTAGATGGGTGAAAGTTAGTTAGTTGCTGTATCAAAAAAAAAAATAAAAACAAAAAAATGGTCTAAAAATAATAATTTCGGGGTGGACACCCCTAATAACTTAGGGGTTTGAATCGGCTACTATCTATGTAGCCGATTCTCAGTCTTGCTGAATATGCATAAAAATGTTATAAAAATCGGTCGAGCCGTTTCGGAGGAGTATGGGAACGAACATTGTGACACGAGAATTTTATATAATAAAATGTTTTGTAAAATTGTGAAAAAAATTGCAGTACGGTATCTAAGGAAGTCAAAATTGAGAAAACATTAAAACAGTCGTAACAGTGCTTTACGACTTTATTCCCCGTGGCAAGCGATATGTTCTCTAACAAAGTACCGAGGGCCAACAATTATAACAAATTTCACTGTGGTTGTTTTCGATATAGTAAAAAATTGGAGCTATATGGTAATCTTGTTCTTTACTTATATATAAACAGTAGATTGACTCACAATATATACGGCATTTCGAATATTGAAAAAATAAAATGAACATTGATATAATACTGTTATACGAACATAGTTAATTTAAACCAACACTAGCGCCATAACACATTGTATATTTGTTTGTTGTGTTCATTATTCGCCTGAACATTATTGTTTTGATTGTACCATATTGGTAAATTCTGTTGAATGTTGTTATATTAAAAAAAACTAAAAACTTTGTGGCAGCGTGAAACTGAAGATGGCCGACGTCGAAAGCACAAATTCTATAACAATATTCAATAGAAAATATAATTGTGATATATTTGAATTATTTTTGTAGTAAGTAGAATTCTCGTCACGAGAAAATACCTCAACGTGAAGTATGAGCTGTTAACGTGCATTTTTTATCTGTATAATATTAGGTAATAAGTGAAAGTATCAATTTAAAACTCTGGGAAAATTTTATCATTAATTCGATTATTATTTCTTTTAATAATAGGGGGGCAAACGAGCCTTCGACCGGCCTATTAAGCAAAAGACAAATTTCTGCATGTTTTTTTAAAGGCGGTCGCCCTGTGCGTGACAATCTGAAATCACAAATCGAACTCGGATCCTCTGTAAGTGTAAAGATATATAACGCATCAATTGACACCATCTTAATCTGCTCAAGCGCTGGTTAATGCATTAAACCTGAAGGACCTGGGTTCGATTTCCGACGATATATTTCCTAAGATAAAACTGGTCATCGTTTTATAAAGGAAGAGCATTTTTGGAACTTATGCATAATTCTCTGCCCTGTTGTTTGTTTATTGATTAGATTATTTGCAATATAAGGTATCAAAAGAGCGGATTATAAAAGTCCCAAATGCACAAAACATTTAATGCTACATTAAAACGCAATTTTCCCAGAGTTTGTTTCATATCAAACCTTAATCCCACTTTACCTATGTAGGTATATTTTGTAATTTTTGTATGTACAGTCATTGCGACTATGGTATATCATCTCATTGAAGTGATTAAATCACATTATCAAATACAAGTTTTTTTTTATTCCTATAAGGTAGTATATAATGGGTAGTAGTTGGCCTTGGAGGTTCGATTCCAAGTGCAACAATTTTACCAGGACGCTAGTCGCTACAAGAGGCTGCTTCCTGTGGTAGACTGTGAACTAAAATTTAGACTTCAAATGAAGTTGGTACGTTTATAGAGAAAAAAAATGTTAGTTCGGAATAACGTAAGAATAGTTTTCCACGTCAAGTGAGATCGTTGTTCTGGAGCACAACTGCCTTGCGATTGTGTAACTCATTACATCTCAGTGATGCCGCTCTCAAATCACTTGTGAACGAGTCATTTTACCATTTGGGATTCGGATAATTAGATGAGATTAGATTACATATTAAAAACCATTTGGCAGAAAAAATAATGAAAGCTTACAGCTCGTTTTTTGACTTAAAACTGAAAAAAACATAATGAAATATCATATCATATTCAAAATTACTTTATTTTAAAAATAATTTATAAAATTATAAGGTCTTCGGTGATTGGAACAAAGAGGCGTGCACTTTTTTAATTCCTGGACTGGCTGCTGAATTAAAAAGGGCAAGTAAAGATCAAGAAGTCATATACTTGCGAAGCGTAATATTAAAAAAAAAAATTGAATTTTAATTATAGTTATTTTTTAAAAGCTCATAACTTGAAAAATAAACAAAATTATTTTTACGTATTTGCGTACATACCAAACCCACTAGAGGTGTTAATCCGAATATAATAAAATTCTACCTAAATTTTTTTCGCTGTCAGCTTCACGTGAAATGCCCCCTTTTTATAATTTAAATTGCAAGTAAAACTTGTCTTTACAACTATCCAATCTATTTCATGTATGGTGAGATTTCTTCTTGCTATTGACGTAAATCAAACTTGTCTTAAGTTTTGTAATTTTTCAATTAAGTTTGAGAGCGCTTTAGACAATAGCCTTACTACACACGAGGATGTTAAATAAAATGGTTAATCAAACCAAAATCACTTTTTATTTACATTTTACAGTTCACATTAAAATTAACTTGTATAATGACAAATGATATGAAAACAGTTTTAAAACGAACTAGTCTAAAACTTACCATTAATGAACAACATTATAACATTCCAATATTTTGTACTCTTTAAAATGTGATAAATTACAAAACACGACACCGCTGCAAAACTCACAATAATTACTATGTAAATTATAATTAAAACATTACAAAATCCATTCATTATAATAATATTAGCAAATTCTGCTAATTACAATACATAACCTTTATAAAAATCAATTGCTCTCGGTGGCAAGTTGAGTTCATTCGTCGAAGATCGGTCCAAACGTCAGCATATGTACAATACCATCCAAAAGATATTCATTTCATAAAAATTGCCGATTCTCATTCCGTATATCCGTTGATATCAATTTAAAATAAAACATGGTTTCACAATTGAACCGAAAAAAACTAATAAATAAAACTCGTATTCCGCGTATTACAATACAATTAACACTAAATATTCCAACTAAACCGATTACCTATAATTGACTATAGGAAGACGATCTCGAAGCGTTCAAACGGGCGTACACTGTGTTTCGCGATTTTGGTTATTTTTATTTTCAAACAAAAACACGGAGATCATAGCCGAAGAAACTTGGTTTCAAGATCTCAAGTTTAACGGTGGTAATGGAGCCATACTTTAATATGGCACAAGCGCTCGTAGTGCCCTCACTTATATTACCTATAGCTGAACTCGTTTCGCTCTTGATATGCCACCGGTTCAGATAAGTTTGCAGCACTATTACACGACACTAAAATATTTAAGATTTAACTCTATTTTCTTATGAATCCAATGCGATTATTAACCATCTTAAAAATTAAAACAAAATCTGTGATAATTAAATCATTCCCATTTTTTAAAATCTAAATTCAATGTTATTAAAATACTTAAATATTTTAGTGTCAAATGTTGGCTTAGAGGCTATCCACGTCGTCAGTCTTAAAATAAATGCAACTGGCACACATCCCTGTTGTTACTTACATAAGAATAACAAATTTTACATAAATCTGTTTATGAAGCGTAAAATCGGCCTCAAAATCAGCCAAGAGGCCGCCGAAGGCCTGAATACACTAATAAATTAAAAGCACAGAATTTGTTGAAAAAACAAATAAGTACAATGTCGGATATCAAAACGTCGCACGTTAGTCTGTTATTCTAATCCAAATATTTAAAAGTCAATCAAATTTAAGCTTCATACAATTGACGATTAAATTAAGCGTCTCATTCACGGGCCGATAGGCGATATTTTAATTTGTCTAACTCGCGTATACGTCGCCTAAAGCCTCGTGGCACCTCACAAAACCTCACAAATTTTATATTCATAAGTTTTATAAGTTACCGTAGGGTTGTCAAGGTAGGGAAAAACTAATGAACTGGAATTAAACATCAAAGCTCCTTACTTAAAACTTAAATAAACCTAACCGTTGAGCCGTAGATTTTGTTATTGCAAAGTGCTAAAAAAACCTGAGAGACGTTTATAAGTAAGGCGCTTCTTAAAGAAAGAAAGAAGAATTGACCAAAAGACAGTCCTAAAAAATAGCACTGGTTCCAAATTATGACTTTTGATCAACATGTTGGCTTCGACCTAACTAATATCTGACCTGAAAGCGACCTGACAACCCTTAAAAATACCCACCCGCTTGTATAATGCGAGGCTTTCCTTCTCAGCTGGTCAAAAGAGCATCGTCAACTAAGGGCAACTTGGCCACTTCGAAGAATATCGAGTGCGAGTACTTGTTCCGTACTGTGCTGATCGCGGACTTTGGCTTCTTGTGCAGAACTGCGTTTTGGAGGAGAGCGATCGGAAGAATCTCTGAGAGGGCGTAGCCTGAGAAGTTATAACACGTCACTCAGCAAAGAAACTTGACAAACATTTTCTACATATATCGTCAAGTAACTAAATCAATTTTAAAAAAATCAGTGGCGCTACAACCTCTTTAGGTTTGGGCCTCAGATGTCTGAATCTGTTTCATGATCATTTTTAAATCTAATAGGTAAGGTTCAACACATTAGATCAGTCTCCAGTGCCTGACACAAGCCGTCGACTTTTTGGCCATTGTTGCTCAGGCGGGGTTCGAACCTACGATCTCAGGGATGAGAGTCGCACGCAGAAGTCACTAGGCCAACACTGCTCTATTACTAATAACAATATTAATAATAATTTATTAAATGCCTGTACAATTAAGCCGTCAAATATAGAAACCATTGGAATGGTTTAGAAATTTTATATTCTTAATAATTAAGTAATCTTTCAATTGTTGCCAACAGCGGGGAAAATAAAAAAAATTGCAACAATTTTTGGGAACTAGTACCAATACACTTTTTTTATTTCATCATACATACCAGTGTAATGCTGCAGCGTGGGAGTCCACTGGGAGACATTCTTCATCCGCAGCGCCACATAGAGCGCAGCCGCCGCCATCTTGCTATCCGACAGAGACACCAAGCTGTATTCCAATAGGCATTGCTCCAAGATGAACCGAGCCAGGGTCAGGGTCGGCATTGAGACTCGGGCGCACTGGAAACAGCGAAAACATTTATTTACTTAATATAATTATTCATAACGAAATTGAAAAACTAATAAAATTCCGGTTGTAAATAAATGCAAAGTAAGGACCACACATTGTGATTTTTGAGTCACTGGTCCATAATTATTTTAAAGCATTCGAAATATGTAAATAATGAAATAAACCGTTCAAAGAGTTTTAGTGCAATGTTTATTTGTGTAAACTAAAGGCAATATTAACTGCACGAGCCTAGGCTGTACATTTTGCTCACTCAGGCTTTTTTAGGTTTATAAGCGTGGCGATTTCCTAAATCGTGAGAGTTACGCCCAGAGAGTATAGTCAGACACAGGCACTCTCTTCAACAGTTTCATTGCATTCATATATAGCATTATTTCGCTTATATTCTATTGTCGTACGCAAGAAGTAATTATAGAGTAAAACTAAAATCCTCTATTACTTAAAGTACAATTTCATAAAAAAGAAAGCTGTTCTATCAACAAGTTTATAATATAGGATCGAACCAATTAATTAATCACCAGGAAAAACAATGTTTTAAAAATTCAGCCGAAAACTTCAGAAACAAACCAACTAGGAAATAAAAACGACTTCTGAACAAAAACTTTAGATGTAACTAAAAATAATAAATCTCGCATTCCTAACCAAACATTTTTTTATTTGCAAAGTATATTCATCAGATAAACTAAAACTGAATGTATTACTTTAATATTTCTATATTATTAAATTTCTTTTCAATTTTCAACCGTAAAAAATATATATAATAAGTTTAAATCGGGCCCCGAGTCTATTTGGTCTTTTTCAGCATTCTTAAACTAATGAATTAAGTTTAGTAGACTTAAGTTACAATTTAACATCAAATAAATTACATCTTTTAACAGTTTTACCTAGAAGACATCTACTGGATAATAAATAACTCAACAACTCTTAATTATTTTCCCACCACCCTGAACAAAATAAGACTCACCCGAGCGTATCTTCTCAGGAACCTGTAGGAGAGAGGAATGCCGAGGTCAAAGTCGATCGTCTTCACAATTTTGATCTCCATCTTGATTAATTGATTCAGCGTGTAGGCTCCGTCACAGATGTACAGAAAGTCGTCCACAAGTGGCGGGATCCGTTCCTATAACATTTGTTTTATATTATTACATAAAACAAACATATATAGAAAAAATATATACAGTCCACCAACCACAACAGTTATTTCAATATACACATTAAAAATTGCAAGTGGGTCTTATATAATGATATAGCAATTAACAAATACGAAAGAAACAGAAAGTAACTTGTGTCTGCGATAATAATAATGGAAAACAACTCAAAAATATGTTAAAATATTGCGAAAAAAGTGTTCGACAGTTCGAATAATGAATAAGGAGGATCAAAAATCAATTTTAGGATTATTTATGAGAATATCAATGAGATTTGTCAGTAATAGCTGCCTTTAGCCAACAGTTTGACTCAAAGCTTTTGAAAAAGTATGAAAGATTAAGTTAGTGGACGTATGTTACGAAAGTTAGGAAAAAAGTTATGTTTCTAATACCAGTTCTACATTCAGTAAACCATCCATGATAGAAACCATTTCATTAAACAAAATCTTATTTACACAAACAAAAAATTATGTTAACGGTGACTTTTATTTAAATATATTTTTTTATATATTTAAACTGCGTAAATAAACAAATTCAACGCTAGTAGATACTTTTACTTAAGGTGTGAACTCCCCTAAGTTAAGTTTGAATCACGATCTCAAGAACTGAACAAAAAAAAAGACAATTCTACACGATACAATACTTACGTCGAACTTAGAAGCGATAAATAGGGCAGATGCACCCAACAGCTGTAGCTCTTCCTTATTCAAATGTTCCCTTTCTGGCAATTTCCGACTCGAGCGAGTCAAGAATAAGTCAACGAGTTTAACGGCGAGGTATAATGTCTCATGGTTCAGTTCAAAGCTCTCCTGAACTTCCACCATCCAGTCAACGAGTAGGGCTCGCATCCACGCTGTGATTCCCTTTATCCGCGTAAGATAGTCATCGATGGGGAAGAGAGGCTGTGTGAGGAATAATGAGATCTTTAATTTTATGCTCTCAAATATCTAATACATGTTTTAATGAGGACATTAAAATACTTTGAAGTTTTATGTTTTAATATTGTTGATGGGTGTATAATATAAGTGAAGTCATATTTTCTTGCATATTTTAAGAAAACATGTTTAGGACTGATACATAGATAAAATGAGATGAGGCCATTAGGCATTATCTTCTTCACAATCCCGTAGCTAGCAATATCGCAGAACACATCTCCCAAGGGAACTCTTTGTATTAAATAATAGACCTTACATAAAATTATATCATTGGTTGCCCGGTAAGGAATGACAATGTTTCAAGTAGCCAGTCTTCCCTCACTGAACTAATAGTATTTTTTCCTTGTGTAATATAAAAGATTAACGATATTTAATTTTCCTTGAATAAACCATAGCTTCTTAAGATAATCATATAAAACATTGAAACTAATAGGATGCACAAATCTACGTGTTAAGAACGCGAGAAGTTGAAAACTTATTTAAATTATTAATAAAACAAACGTAGTGATATCATGGTCTATACTATAATATTATAAACAGGGAGTTTTTGTTATGTTTTTAAACGATAATCACGAAAAATACTAGATTAAGTACTTTTATTTTTTCCTGTCATATTCATTTCTAAAATATATGCATAGCCGTACGAAGCCGGGACATGCCGCTAGTATATATGCCGCTGCCAACTAGCTTAATTAACCGTTCTATCATCAGCCTAGCTTCTTTAAACAGCGCCGTTTCACTGGCGGCCTGAATGATATTCAGCCATTTAACATTTGATCAAACAGCTAGTCAAATAACTTCAATCGATGACGTTTCATTACTTGCATAGATTTATCATTTCAATGTAGTTCCTCTGTCAATATTGTGTCGCTCATATACAGTTACGAATTTATAAAAAAGAAAAGTGAAACTTGTAAGAATAAAAATAATATTGTGGTATAAATAAAAAAGGATGAAAAGATTAATTTAAAATTACAAATAACAAACATACATATTTAAAAAAATCAAGATTATCTGTATTGTAAACATGTATTTTGTCAGAGATTTCAAGTAGATTTAAATATTTTTAAAGTTAGGATGATTCATTTATAATGATCATAAAAACAACAGGAAGCAGAATCAAATAAAGTAACATTAGCCTTGTATCCATTTTAACAAAAACACATTCAACAATAATGATAAGTGATAACAAGTAATGCATTGACAAATGCCTATAATTTTGATTAAATAAGAATATAGGTTGGACATTTTAGATAAATGATCAATATAAATTTCAAATTAAACACTTGGTAAAGTGAAGGATTTGATAGAAACATGTGATTTTTCTAGAAAACTGTGTAATTTAATGTTATTATTTTTATTTTGTATGTATGCCAATTTTCATAATAACAGAATATGAATTAAAATAGTTATGACAAAAACTAACATGATTATTATTTATTATTATTATTTTGAAATGGCTCTCCTGCAAAGTTTACTATTTGTCAGATCTGTTCACTATTCTATGACTATGACGATTTTAAAATTATTAATGAAAATTGGAGGAAGACATTGTTGTTAGTGGCTAGTGATCAAATAGCATACATTTTTTTTTCACTACAAAAACTAAAACATTACTCACTTCTCTGCTTTGCAAGTAGTTGAAGATGTCCATAGCGTAGCAAGATACTTGGTAGGGGTCATTCCAGTTTTCCTTGTCAAAGTCAATAACACCAGCAGGCACTCGGTGTGGGATGTCCACCTCCTCATCCAGAGACCTGCAGTCCGAGTCATCCAAATTTACTTTGTCTAGTTTCTCGCTGATTGCCTTATATTCCTCCTTTGTTTCGTATGTGCTACTGCTAACAGAGTTTTAGTGGAGGAAATGAGAGACATTACATAATGGTTAAATTGTTTGCCAAATTCAAAAGCACAACACTCATCAAGCATGTGCATGAACCATAAATATAAAAAAACCTTATTGTCATTCATCTACATTGGAACATATTTGATTGAGCCAAGATAATATTTCAAAGCATATATTTAAAATAGGCAATCATGATACATTTATTAACACAATTCACTGAAAGAAGTCACAAAAAATTTTAGGCAATCATAAATTAATATCACTTACTTATTCTCCAAAGCCGTGGTATAAAGTGAAGCCTCTGAAACATCACTTCTAGCAGATTTAGCTGAAGAGCTCTGACTTTGATTCTGATTTTCCTTGTCTAATGACTTACGAACAATATTTTTAAGAATGCCATTTTGTGCCCGAGTGGCAATAGGTTTGGGTAGATCCTTAACAAAGTGTTTCTGCACACTCTCTATGGCATTTGCAGCTACTTTTTGCAACTGTCTGCCCTTTAATGTTTTGCCATTGACTGCTGTGTGTGGTTTGATGGTCTAGAATAAGTCTTATATTAATTAAATGGAATAGTATAATAGCTTTAGAACACTTTAGTTAAGAGCTTAAGGTTGATGAGGTTTCTACAAGACACATTTTTTTATGACCTTTCTACTTAACAAAAATATTTTATAGTGTAAGAGCAACAAGTTACACATAGTATATAATAAGAAAAGTTTGTGTAAGTGTAATACTGTGTTAACACATTACTGTTATTGACTGTTTGCAAAAATGAAAATGAAATTGGGGGGAAAGTTGTAACACAACCACACTTTATTCATAATATATGTTGTTCTTAGTAGGCAATAGTTAAATAAAAATACCCTCATGCAGATGTAACATATTTAAAATGAGGAGATTAACCTTAACAGCTGGAAGTATTTTCCCTTCCACAGTCACCTTTTTAAGTGTCATGCATTTTTCGTTACCCGAGGATTTGTTGAATGCGTTTGTTAAGTCTCCAAAAGCAGCTCTTTTAGCAGTAACATCTTTTAAAGGGCTATCAGCTTTTCTCTTGTTTGGCGCCTTTAAGCTGTCTTTGTAAGATTTCAGAGTAGCTAATTGCTTACTCCTCGTCGTGATGCCATGGCTCATGATGCCGTTCATATTCTGACTAATATTTACAGACTTAGATGCCAACCTTGTTGGCGCCATTACAAGTTACTGAAAATAACCAACACTTATCACGTGTACTTTACATAAGTATGTTATATTTTAATTCTTATTTCATGTTTCAACGTTAACACCTATTATAAATTCAATAATCTTCTAACGTCTAACGGTCAAAAATGGAGGCAAAACAAATGAAGTACAAACGGTAGCGTCCTGTAAAAAAAATAACTTACATATTAACAAACGGCGGTGGCCGTTTGATTTGTACCCTTGTTTCCGTTTAATTTGCACAATATTATAAATAATATGAACCACAAATAACCAATATTTAATTATTTGAAAAATATTGTAACGTTTGTTCAACTCGCAACCGAATAGAGCAATTTTAACAAAAACCGTTGGATGAAATCAAATTTCTATTGGCAAAGATGTACCAATCAGGAGAGGGGGAAACTTTCGTTCCATTTTAGAAGAACTTATAAGTTGAAATATTACTTTTGTTTATTTTTCTTCTCACAATTAAAAGTAATAGTTAAATTTTATCTTTAAAATACGTATACTATATATAAATTTTGTTATATACTAGTAAATTCATGTAAATATTAAGGAAAGCCAGATATTTGATAAAAAAGTATCTCGGCTTGTAGGAAAACGTAAATCGGAATGCTGCTTCTCGGTCAATGACATAGGACTTTCTGTCAGTAAAACAAACGGTTATGAAGTGTCATTATCAGCTGTCGTGTTGTTTATAAAAACGAATACCGTTTTCAAAATATAATGTTAACAATATCAATTAATAGGTATTATATAATTTATAATTAGAAACGGCGGCACATATCGATGTTTAACTACATTTTTGAAAAATGTTAGGCGGTGTAAGATTAAAAGTGTCATTAACCCACGAACGAACTTGTTTTGCATACATAAGTCCTAAATACAGCGCCAACAAAGAACAAGTAAGTAGAATGTCTCAATGTATCCTGTAAATTACATCAGATGTAAGCCAATGAATGCCAAATTCAGTTGTTCTATGTTTTTATATATTTCGTTGATTTTTGTGCAGAATAGGTTATGTTTTCGTTTAAATGATAAGATAGGGTCAAGGTTATTTGCTTAAATTGCTTTATCATGTTAATGTTTGTTTATACGATATTTATATACTTTATTTTATTTTTTAGTCACAATGTATACAAATCGTGTATAAGGAAAAACATATATTATTATGGGCAGTATTCAGCAGCAATGTTTCTGAAGGTTACATATCATGCAATCCAACTCACAGTAAGCTACTAGACTTAGATGAGGGTGCTGAAGTTTTTGTGTCTCCATATGGTGATGTTCCAGTCTTAGATGAACTGTATATTGACACAGAAAGTCCTGATGACCAAGAAATATTGGTACAATACATTTTAATAGTCTAAATTTAGTTTTAGTTTTTTGTACAATACAAATAATAAATTTAATTCTAGGAGCATAATGCTGATATTCTTCAGTATAGAATCCTTGATCAATTAAGGCTGGTTGTCTCTCATCAAAAAGCAGTAGTATGGATTTCAACATCACTTCCAATTGTTTTTACACCAAAGCAAACAGGCCTTTTGGTCAATCATAGTAAAATTATAGTAAAGGTAGATGTTTTCAATAAAGTTCAAAATCAGAGCAATACCTTAGGTGCTTCAACTCAAAACAATAAACAGGCCTTTAACAATATTGGTCTTATTAATCAGGGTATACTTCGGCCTTATTTGATTGTACCAAGCAGACTGGTTTTACGAGCTCTTGCTATTGATAGTGATGGTAAAAAAGGCAAGAACTTAATTCATCCATACACAGTTTTCATACATGAAGACTTAATAGGTAGTACCTACAAAGATTTGACAGTAATACTAGCAACAATGCAGAATATTCCATCTATAAGCCATTTATCAAATCTTAATGAAGATGAAAATAAAACCACAAATACAATTGATGACTTGTGTGTGGAAATAGTTCCAGTAGATAATGTGATATTCAGAAGCCTTTCTCATGAAGTATATAACAAGAATATACCTTCTGTTTTAATACCTAAGTCATTAAATGCAATAATTAATATAGAAAATGGTATAAAGATTATATTTACCTTAATTGGTGACAAGGCAGAACAACCCGAACATATTGATGTCATTACATACACAGACAAAACTCAAACAGAAATTGATATTATTGAGAAGTTTAAAAAATGTGTTGTTGATAACACACATTCAGGGAAACAGTTTTTAATAAACAACAACATAGTGAAGCAAAATAATCAAATAACAAATGGATTTTTAAGATTCAAGCTAAAACCAGAGAAATTGAAATACACAATGTTAAATTCAGAATCATTCAGACATTGTTCTGTGTCTGCGAAAAGTTTGACAGATGCTGATTTGGAATTACCAAAACATGTGCCCTCAAAATTAGAATATGATTTCAAAAATTATTGTAGGTCTATGAGATCAATGCAAAATATTGTTGAAAAAGTTGTTGCAAACATATATTTTGAAATTCATAGGGAGGCATGTTTTAAAGGAGTATCTGAAATAAAGAGTAATATTTTAATTACTGGTAGGTAAGACATTACATATTTATTAATTTCTAAAATAGGCTGAAATTATGCTTGTGGAGTTTACAAAAAAAATATTTTTCAGTATCAGTATAGATAAAAAACAATATTTTAGTTGTCAGTTAATATTTTGTCTATGTGATGTGTTTATAGTTGACACAGAAATTTTTAATATATGTCTATTTGTGTTGAATTTAAATTTATATTTATTGTATTGAACATACATTTTTAATTTAGAAAATAGAACAAAATTGTAAGTTAACAAAATATTTTAATTCTATAAAAATAATAGTCTAAACTTAATACAATTAGTGGAATAGGGCCAGTCAATAATTTGAATGGTTTGAGCTCTTAGCTTGAGCACCTTCTCATCCTCCATACATTTCAACAGTTGGGCATGTTAAAGGAGGTTAAAGTAATGTGTCATTTTCATTTTAGGCATTTGGTATCTTTCAATCTGAAAAAAAAAATTGAGTTTTGTTTTAAATAATAACAAAAACAAATCACATTTTAGGTGCTAGCGGCAGTGGAAAGACATCTCTTTGTCATATTGTACAAAAGGACCTTACTCTATGGTCCCATGTACTTCATTGTCGGCCTCTAAAGGGCCGGAAAGATATTCCAGAAGTATTGAGTAAGGCAATACTAATTTGCCAGGAGCATAGTCCATCTGTATTGATTTGTGATGACTTTGATGCGTTGGTATCGCCTAATATGGAAGGCGATTCGCCGCAAGATATTGCGTTTTATCAAAGGTAAATTTTTGTTAATGCTTTATCGGTGAATATTGATGGCAAAGCTAAATTCCTAAATTAGCTTTTTTTGGTTGACTGCACTGTAAATAAAGTTTGACCAAAATCTTGTTGTTGAAAAAATTTAAGTATATCATTTTGATGTCATGATCGTCGAAAGAATGTCGGATTTGATAAAAATCCAAAATCCAATTTTATCATATTTGGATACTACATTGACTAAATATTACGGCTACATTAAAAAGAATTCATGTGTTTTAAATTTCAAATTAATCAGTCGGTAAAGTGACGGATTTAATAGACGCTCATAGAAGCATCTGATTTTTCTAGAAAACTGTGTAATTTAATGTTATTATTTTTTTTCAAAACAAACCCTTTTGTTTGTATGTATGCCTATTTTCATAATAACAATATGAATTTAAATAGTTATGACAAAAAACTTCACTTTTTGTCAAATCTGTCACTATTCTACGACTATTGGTGCGTTCCACTAAGCGCTCACGACGATCAAAATGCTCCTTTAGCCATTCCACATACCGACCGCGGTCGTTGTGGTCACGGCGAAAACGTCACTCATGACGTCATGACTAATGCTCACGCAACGCTCACAACGACCCATCTAAAGAGGTGGGTCGTTGTGAACGTTGAGAATAATTTGGCGCAATTTTTGAATTTTTTTTTTGAATTATGACAAATAATAATATTATTATATTCAAAGCTTAAAGATGGCGACAAGAAAAATCACATGATTTGATTCAGAAAGAGAAATTGTAAAGCCATTTCGATTATATTTAAACTTAAGTTGTTTGATAACTTCACCAAAATTATTTATAAAATATTCAATTATTCTTCACTTTTAACATAAATAAATTTAAGTCACAAATATCAAAACTTATTGTTTATGATTACCTTACCTCCTTAAAATTCTACTATTTTCAAACTTGACATTTGTAATATTTACATGAACGCCCGAAACGCTCCATAATCCATTCCACTTGAGTTAACGACAGTAACATTCACAATCAAGTGGAATGGGGAAATCAGGGGTCGTGAGCGTGATCGTCGTGAGCGCTTAGTGGAACGCACCAATATGACGAAATATAACGACACAGATGACACAGGAGTCATACTGCCAACAGGCCCAGTGCACAATGGGCGTGTTCGGCCGAAGTAAGTACTTACTAAATTTAGTAAGTCACTTACTATGCTTACAAAATTTTCGGCCGGGACACAAAATAAGTGCTAACGCAGTAAGTATGGCTTAATATACGACGCCATTTTGCTTATTGTTGATGTAAACAAAACGGACAATAAAATATCCAATAAAATATTTCTCATAAAATTATCCATTTGAAACTATTCACAGGTATTAAATTATATTCCTAAATTTAGTACTGTCAATTATATTCAGTCTATGAGGTTATGTACGGGATATGACATAAACCGGTGTTTTGTGTTATGTTAATAAGCCAGTAAGTCTGTCCTGGCCGAAAAGCGCTACAGTCAGCTTGTAAGACTTTAATTTTTTTATGCTTACTGGCTTACTAAGTTTAGTAAGTACTTACTTCGGCCGAACACGCCCAATCAAAGTTAATAATTTTCATAATAAATTTTTAGTTAATTTTTTTTGATATTACAGACTGGCAATTTGTATTAAGAACATGCTGCAGTCGTGTTCTGGAGTCTGTGTAATAATGACGTCACTCAGTATGCATTCCTTGCATCCGGTATTGAGAGAGTTTGGCGGGAAACCTCTGTTCACCAGCCATTTTGACGTTCCTGAACTTGATCAAGTAAGTTTAGTTTTTAAAATATTTATAAAACACATTCATTCATAAATATGGTTAGTTCTGACACTAGATTTAAGTTAGATTGAATATGGCTCTCTATGGTATAATCCGTCAAATTTTAACAGCTGAAGGTGTTCCATATACTCACAACAATACTTACTGCTTATCGGTGATAAGAAATTAATTCAAAAGGCCGGCAACACACTCGAGAGCTAATCCGTCCTGCCTGTTTACATTTGCGTTTGTTCTATATAATTAATCATTTTACTTATTACTGTGTTATGTTTAATTTCAGGATGAGAGGGTGGAGTTGTTCAAGCACTTACTAAATAACAAAGTACGCGAGTCGTTCGTTATTGAAGACGATGACGTAATCAGGATGGCGATGGATACGGCCGGCTCCAGCGTGCGAGATGTCGTGGACTACCTCAATAAGAAGATATTCAAAGCTATCAAGAAGAAAAGTAAGTTTTTACTATTGGTGAAGTCATGCGTATTCTGATACCTGACTCCGTCATCCCTTGTCGAACAACGCTTATCAAGAAGCATGGTGGAGTTTGATCTCTTCGTTGTTGACATCTGGTATCTGGGTTTTAAAATAAGTGTTGTTTGACATAGTCATTTTGTATGATGATTTCCTATTTTAAAAGAGTACCGAGAGTTTTTTACGCCGGCTTTTTCTCTCGGCCTACACTCTCTGACTTCTTTGCCGATGAGTAGGGATGTCTAGCGATTGAAATTGCATGACGTGGAATAAGTGATACCTGTATCTCATATTCCATAATAAATCTATTTTATTTTTTTACCGCACTGCACGATTTGGATCATCGTTTCTTGTAGCAATGGAGTGGAAGTTCTTTCCCCCTTCCATATTCTTAATAGTTAAAATAAGATAAACCCCTGGTGTGAAACTTTACGATAAGCGATAATTTTACTGACCACTATATAATTAAAATTAAATTAATTAAAATTATCTTTCCTAGAAAGTTTAATATGGGTTCATTTAAACGGCGTTTAAACAGGCATCTCCTGTAGGCGTGTCCTCCAAAAGGCCACTTCTCACTTAACATCAACCGGGGATCGAACCTACAACCTCAGGGATGAGAGTCGCACGCTGAAGCCACTAGACCAACACTGCTCAATTCTTAATTTAAAAAGTTAGAAAAAGAAATACCTTTACAGAATCATCTACAGATAAACCACGTCTCCATGAAACAACAAAAGAAACACCCAAAGAACTAGATATCTGGACTCCAGTGGGAGGCTTGGAGGACGTTAAGCGGCAGCTCACGGAAGCCATTTTCTGGCCAATCATGTATCCAGTGCTATTCCCATCTAAACGATGTGGGGTCATGCTGTATGGCCCGCCTGGGACGGGCAAATCCCATTTGGGGTCTTGTTTGGCCCGGGCCGCTAATATGCGAATGCTCACTGTGAAGGGGCCGGAACTACTTTCCAAATATATTGGACAAAGCGAAAAGGCTGTTAGGGATATTTTTGACAAGTTAGTATTTTTATTATTTCTCAATATATATTTTATATGTAGTGTACACGTTTATATATTATATATGATACCACTGGTTTATAGTAATGTAAGAGCGATCTTGTCGGGAGTGTCAAATGGGAAAGTTCATATATGTACTATTGTATATATTTATATATCTATATATAGATGCGAAGTTTTCAATGCCTGTTCTATAAAAGAAAAGGGTGCATGTACTTATGTACGCGCGCTTCTTTGGCATTATTAAAAATAGTTTTTGATTGCATGCAAATAATTAATTACAATTAAATAATCAAAGACTGGAAAAGGATTATTATAGTCAATAAAGTTCAGTTTACATTTGAAAAATTAAATAAATAAATATTTATTATTATTCTCTTACATTAAGTGTAACTTACATTCTATTATTATTCGAATGTTGTTTTTAAATTATGTCCAATGCCGTAGCATCTTCCGTGGGCAACTTCATTCTGTTAATTTTGTGTCACGGTGCGCGCGCATCGTAAAATTTCACTCTCATCAATTTTTCATACCGCGCCTAAAGAGGTATAACTTCAAAAATCTGAGAAAATAGACATATTTTTATTTAGAGTAAGGATATTTATGTTTACACATAAATACAGTGTTCTTTAATCGTGAATTATCATGCAGAGCGGAGTTACAGCGTCCGTGTATTCTCTTCTTTGACGAATTCGACAGTCTCGCGCCCAAGTAAGTTTTATTGTAAGTACCTTCACGAACACTTCATTTTTATGCAAATTTAATTGAACATTTTATGATTAGTTCGTTAGGCACTCATATTTATTTCTCAAGTATTTCTTTGTCGATTAGCGGTACTTTAAGATTTTATTTATTCTTAATGAATTCAACAATCTGTTTCTACGCGAGTTTTTGACGTGACAACGTCTAATAAGTCGATGAACGCCGGCTGCACGCATATAAAAAGCATGTCTCATTGTCCCGTTACGCTCATAGTACGCTTGCGTCGCATCTATCTCTCTTCCACTCGAAGACTTAAGTATGCAATCATTTCATCAATGTTTTGTTATGACGTTGTCACGTTAAACGATCGTCCGTAAACCGACTTTACAGACAACCATTTTATATACAATAGACGGTGAAATAAAATGTATTCCATGCAGAGCTATAACTAAAATAGATATCAATGTCTGTTTATGGTATTCTATTATATAAAATTCTTGTGTCACAATGTTCGTTCCCATACTTCTCTGAAACGGCTAGACCCATTTTTATGATTTTTTTATATATATTCTGTAAGACTGAGTATCGGCTACTATCTATCTTTCAAAACCTTAAATGTTTATTTTTATTTTTTTAGACAAAACTTTTTATTTATTTATGAAAAAACATACAAAAATACATACAACCCTTAATTTTCACCCCTCTACTATCAACCCCTATGTTTTATTTGTGAAACATGACATTAACTCTGAGGTTTATATAGAGAAAAATTCACAGAACAACCTAAAAAGTTTTTATTCCGAAAAACCGAACAGTCTCTGGGGTAGCATAGCAAAATGTTCCATTTTGGTATGTACTAGAAAGTTAGTCTAAGTAAAATCACATTAAGCAGAAACGAAGTTCGCGGGGGCAGCTAGTAATATATGAATATGTCAACTACAATGCTTTGTCCAGACGTGGTCACGACTCAACCGGCGTAACCGACCGAGTGGTAAACCAATTACTGGCGAGGCTCGATGGGGCCGAAGGGGGTGCGAAGGGTCCAGTTGTAGTTGCCACGTCTCGGCCGGACCTGGTGGACCCGGCTTTGTTGAGAGCTGGAAGGATCGAACGCCATATTTACTGTGCTTTGCCGGATTTGGTGAGTTCTTAGAGTCTTTGTGGGCGATTTCATTTAGGTAAAATACGAGCTCCTTCAACTAATCATCTACGGCAAAGTGGCAGACGAAGACCTGGCTGCAGACGCACGTGATGGATGAAGAACCTTAGATGGTGGATGAAGGGCCGCTTCTCAACAATGACTTGGTGCTATGATCATGCATAGCAGCAAGTCATTGTTGAGAAGCGGCATTCAAAATTAAAGAAGTTATGATGATTGCCAACCTTCGAAAGGAGATGGCACTATAAGGAGAATGTACACTTATGAACGTCAATAAGAAAATTAATCGCGACGTCAAGAAAAGAGTGAAGAATACGAAATTCCACCCGTATCACCTCGACGTCCTTCATTCTACAACTGAGCGTTATTTAAGGGAGTTTTTTATCACTATGTGGAACCATGTTTTTCAGTACCATTTCGACTTAGGGTCCTTCAAGAAAATACCAATTCTTAAAAGGCCGGCAACACACTCGCGAGCCCTCTGGCATTGAGATTGTCCTTGGGCGGCGGTATCACTTAACATCAGGTGAGCCTCCTGCCCGTTTGCCCCCTGTTCTATAAAAAAAAAATCTTATAAAGCCGGTAACGCACTTGCGAGCCGTCTGGCATTGAGAGTCAACGGTATCACTTAACATCAAATGAGCCTCCTGATGAATTGTTATGTTGCAACTATTATCTTGCTCCATATGACATGGAAAGAGTTATGGCGAAATAGGAGCGCCCACTTACATTACAATGGGGACAAAACATATGTTTGTTTCATTTATAAATTTGTATAGACTCTTTTGTAGAATCTGCCCTGTGTCTATTTGAAACAGAAATATGCCCACATAATACCAAGTTCCAAGGTCTTCTGTGGTCTTTCAAACGACAAAAGTTGAGATATGCTATACATCTTAATATATAAAATTCTCGTGTCACAATGTTCGTTCCCATACTCCTCCGAAATGGCTCAACCGATTCTTATGATTTTTTTTATGCATATTCAGTAAGTCTGAGAATCGGCTACTTTCTATCTTTTAAACCCCTAAGTGATGTGTCCACACCAAAATAATTGTTTTTATTTTTTGGATAACTTTTTTTGATTTTCTCCCCTCTACGATGAACCCCTATTTTTTATTATTGTAGATAGTTATTTTATTAAACAAAAAAAATGTTTCCTAGATATAATATACATGGCAAAACAATCGTTTTCTGGGTCAGCTTGTATAATATATAATTTATAGAATGATCGCCAAGAAGTGCTAAAGACGCTGGCACAGAATGTGACAGTAGACGAAAGCGTAGACTTCCAGCTGATAGCGGAAAAGACTGAGGGCTTCTCACCGGCCGATCTGAAGTCTCTGCTGGTGACTGCGCAACTTGGAAGGTTGGAGACTCAGCTGGTGAGTTACATTACTTAAAGGCTACCGAAAATAGTTTTCAATAAATTTAAAGGCCGCAACGCACTTGCGAGCTTTCTGGCATTGTGAGTGTCCTTGGGCAGTGGTATCACTTAACATTAGGTGAACTGTCTTGCCCGTTTGCCTCCTATTATAAAAAAAATTAAGGCCGTCATATATAATATGTACAAAAATCCCGCAAAATTTAGTTTTTGATCCGCTCAAAAAAAAAAATCTACTTCTTAACAAATATTCTTATTTTTAACTTTTAATTTAATTTTACTATACGCCTTTACACAAGACTTCATTACGTACTGGTAACTTTTTTTCTACTAAGTATTTTTTTTTGATATCTCTCATTTTATTTTTTCATTGATTATTGTTATTATGTGTGTTTCTGTTTGTAATAAATGTTATGTCTATGTATATGGCTGAAAAAAAAATGGATAAACAAATATTCTACTTAAAAAGGTTGGCAGTTGTATAAATTTAATTTAAAATATTTATAGTACAGAAATAAGATTATTATTATTATACTCAGTGGCGCTAAAACTTTCACGAAATAATTTTATAGGTGTTCAGACTGTGTCTGACATATATCTATTAGTTGAAAAATGTTTGTATGTGGAACATGGAAAGAAAATTTCAGGCTTTGAATACATGACCTCAGGGTTGACAGTCTCCGTCAGGACCTGTCTAAGAAAAATATTAATTAACATTTCAGATGAGCAGCGAAAGTCGTCGTATGGAGAGTGTGACAGTCAATGGAGAAGACATTGAAGCTGCACTGAAGGAAACCAAACCCTCACTTTCAATGGAACAGAGAAGTTTCTATGATATGATGTAAGTTTCTATAAAAATAATTGTGTACGTAATCGATTGATTTTTATAAAACTTTCTCACGTTGAAATCGATATGTGTGACGCCCAAGTTTATCATATTCATAAATCACATACGGATAACCTTTTTGAAGTAGGTTAATACCATCCGTATCACCTCGACGTCCGTCTCACATCTGAGCTTTTCTTAAAGCACGCACCAGCCTATGTGGAACCAGCTGCCCACTTTTTCGAACCAATTCGACTCAGGGTCTTTCAAGAAAAGAGCGTACCAATTCTTAAAAGGCCGGCAGCGCGCTTGCGAGTCTTCTGGCAGTGTGAGTGTCTATAGTCGGTGGTATCACTTAACATAACCGTTTGCCTCCTGTAACATAAAAAAACGGATATGAACGTGAAGCACAGAAAGAAAATGAGCGGTCTTATTGTTAAAAGCATTTTCTTCCAGATAACTCAAAATAATCTCAAAACTTTGATCTACATCGGACAAGTATCTCTATATGTTTTAAGAATTTTTTTCCTACACTAAACTTCACAAAAAAGAGCGCGACTTTACATGAATTACAATCTAGCCTATACAATAATTACGTCTAATAAGTAATATTATGATGACTTAATTTTCTACAATACCAATGAATACCTTAAACTAAGGGTATGTTCATTAACAGGCTTAGAATTTATTAAAAAAAAAATTAATTCCTCTGTTTCAGATACAAAAGATTCCGAGGGGACCCTCTTTCGTCCGAACAAAAAATTATATCGCAACAGATGCTAAAACAGAGGGTCACGCTCGCCTGATTGTTTCGGTTTTGTTCATGAAGATTACTAATGGTTATCGGTTTTTAATTTATGTATAATTTTGTGCTTTATAGGCATCGTGGTGACAGTATTTTTTGCTAAAGTTTTTATATATTTAAGATGTCTCAAACTGTTCATATATATTAAATAAATAGAAAATACTACATCGGGTAGTTTGAGCGATATCTTCCAGACAAACATAATAAAATACAAGTAAAAAAAAGGGTGCGTGTACTTATGTACGCGCGTAAGAAGTTATACTTCTTTGGCTTTCTTTATTTTTTTTAAATATTAAATAATGAATAACAAATATTTAACGTTAATAATTTAATAATATTTAATATTTAGTATATTATTCAATTATTAATTAATATTAATTATAATAATTATTATTATTTATTATTTTATTATATTATTCATTCAATTTAATAACTACGTATACGTACATAACCTTTTAACTAAGTAACAATAGGTCTTTGTGAAAAAGCATTGCTAAATAGCTTTGAAAAAATAATTAAAACTCCTTTATTTGTTTAAAAGGTAAATCTCATTATGGTCATTCAAAATTCTTGGCATAGCTGCTAACGTCACGCATATTCTATTTCTTTTTACTTGTAGATTGTCTTATTCCCATCTCGCTCTCGCACGCTATAATCACACTGACAACTTTGTGTCTCAGGTGCGCGCGCATCGTAAAATTTCACTCTCATCAATTTTTCATAACGCGCCTAAAGAAGTATAACTTCAAAAACGTTTTTTTTTATAGTACAGGGGGGCAAACGAGTCTATTGGACGCCCAAAAGCCCACGGACTTTTAGTGGGTAAATTGTAATTGTAAAGTTAAATTTTTAATTGGTTTTAAATACGTAATTTTCTATACAAGCTATGTGATTCACAAGTGACTAAGTGTAAGATTTAGAAACTGACTCGCTTACGTCTAATGAATGATGACATACTTGAGTTATAGTCTGCGCTTAAGTTTAGCTTCCAAATCTCACCCTGCTACTTTACCGTTTTGGTGTAGACTGGTCATGGGTGACCAAAACAGCGATTTGGGCGTGTATTTAGAAACGAACATCGAGTGCTTATTATAAAAATTCAAAATATATATTCCGGTTATTATAAAATATTAAAAATGGTAACCATAAAAATTTTTATATTGCCAAGAATGTTTTGTCACCTTTTTTTCTTTTCGATGTGCAACGTGAGTGGTAAAGACGACATATTTAATTTTGACGCGTTTAAAAGAGATTTTTTTTTCTCAAATTAAATAGTTAATATTAACAAAACTAAAAATGAGCTATGCGCCTAATATGTACAATAGATGCGTGAATTTTCCTGACATTAAAAATAATTTAAATGGTAAGAGAAAATGTTAAGTTAGTTGTTATTAGGTTAGTAGAGGCTTAAGTGTATATTTTGTTGCTATTTTTATAATGGATTGTTTCATTAAATATATATTGGTTACTGGTGATATTTTTTTATTCCTACCCTCACATCGAAAGTTCGGAAACAAAAAGTAATTGCATCCAATTTTCGACCCCTGTTACTTCGAGCAGTGTTGGCCTAGTGGATTTAGCGTGCGACTCTCATTCCTGAGGTCTTAGGTTCGATCCCCGGCTGTGCTTCAATGGACTTTCTTTCTATGAGCGCATTTAACATTCGCTCGAACGGTGAAGGAGAACATCGTGAGGAAACCGGTTTGTCTTAAACCCAAAAAGTCGATGGCGTGTGTCAGGCACACAAGGCTGATCACATACTTGCTTATTAGATTTTCTTTAGAACGGGGCAAACCTGCAGGTGGCTTACCTGATGTTATGTGATATCACCGTCCATGGACACTCTCAATGCTAGAGGGCTCGCGAGTGCGTTGCCGGATCATAGATTGACAAACAAATGATAATGAAACAGTTATACAAGTCTGAAGCCCAGACCTAAAAAGGCGCCGCAGATTTATTTTTTATTTGTTTAATTAACGACACAAAAAATGAGTTAAATTAATTGTAAATTTTCATCTACTACCAGTTCGCAAGTCAAGGGCGTAGAGCGGGTAAGAAGAACTGGCAAGAAACTTTCCGCCACTCTTTTTAATCGCCAAGTATTGTCATACAAATTATTTGAACTGGAGCAAATGAATTCCAAGGATTAGGATCATTTAAGTATTCGTCAAATTTATAAAAAGCTTTATTGATTAATTTTTGTTTAACGAGGGCTTTGAATTTATTTAGTGACAATTCTCTAATTTCGCTTGGGAGTTTGTTGTAAAAACGAATACAATTTCCATATAAGGAGTGGTTTATCTTTTGGAGCCTGGTTGGTCGTACACCCAAATTAGTTCTATTTCGCGTATTATACTGGTGTAGGTCTACAACCCCCTAATATGAAAACTCCCAAGCGAAATTAGAGAATTATCACTGAATAAATTCAAAGCTCTTGGTTAAACGTAAATTAATAAATAACTCTTTTTATAAATTTTACGATTTAATGATCCTAATCCTTGGGATTGATTTGCTCCAGTTCAAACAATTTGTAAGACTCAAAATTTGGCGATTAAAAAGAGTAACGGAGAGTTTCTTGCCAGTTCTTCTGGCCCGCTCTACGCCCATGATTTGCGAACTAGTAGTAAATGTAATTTAGAATAAATTTAACATCTTTTCTGTGGACGTTCATAAGTGTACTTGGTTAGCTATATGAATAAAGTTATTTTGAGTTTATGACTAAATACCAAACAAAAGTTGTTTAGATGTTAAAGATAAACCTAAATAATGAAGCATCGATGTACACCAACAATTTAATTAAACGCTCGCGGCTAAGTTTAATAATTAGCGTACTAAATTCAGATCTAATTCATTAACCAACTCGTTACAAACGCGTCTTAAGATATTAAGTGCTTCAACTAACAAGATGTTTACAAAGATGTAGGATTGTTTTATTGAAGAGGCTAGATGGTGCGTATCAAATAAAATGTATTACTAAATGTGTCATGTCTGATTTTTTGTTTATTTGTTGAAATCTTTACATAAAGCGAAGTAATAATAGACTGGCAGTAAATGTAAAATTAAAAGCATCTAATATGTATTTTTCTTTGGCGTTCATAAGTGAACATTGTGCTACCTATGTGAATAAATGATTTTGACTTTGACAAAAACCTTTTTTTCTTTGTTTAGTGATTATATTTTATTTTTTGGTTAGTTAAAAAGTATTGTATGTATTTATTTTATATAACAGGAGGCAAACGGACAGAAGGCTCACCTGATGTTGAGTGATGCCACCGCCCATGGACACAGAAGGCTCGCAAGTGCGTAGCCGACCTTTAAGAATTGATACGCTCCTTTCTTGAAGGACCCTAACGTTAAACCCTTTTTGTAATAATTAATTCGGTTCATCCAGTTATTTGGATCAATGTACCGCGAGTCCCGACTCGCGTGCATGGTGAAATCTCTACATCTGAATTATTATGCAAGTTCTGAACTAATCTTAATCAGAACACAAAGTTTTTCAATAAAACATAATTATCGCGTATTAATTATGCAACGCTTAAATCATTTTATATTATGCGACGTACACGGCGCTGCTGAAGTCTAGTTCCTAAACAAATGATCGCCCGCTTTCTTCGTGTATAAACCGTTCGTATATAATATTTGTAATCGCTAAGTTTTTTGTTTGTTTGTATAAAGCTCTCCCGTACCAGCTCATTCCACTTGACCCTGACCTTCCACTTCATACAACGAAGAACAGTTCGAATCGTCGACGACCAATACCTTACCATGCTGCTAGATCCCTTGGCGTTAGAGATGTGGGGTCTCTCTGCATCTTCTACCGCATTTACCATAGAGAGTGTTCAGAGTAGTTGTTCGGATCAATACCTGCAGCTGAGTTACATCATCGGCAGAAGATGAAATTCCACCCGTATCACCTCGACGTCTGTCGTTCCAACTAAGCGTTTTCGGAACCAGCTGCCCACTGAAGTATTTCCAAACCAATTCCACTTAGGGTCCTTCAAAAAAAGAGAAGAATATGAAGATTTACGTAGGTACCTATATTTTATTTGATATATAACCTCTATAATCATTGAAAAACGTGTTTTATTATAATCTGTGGAATACCCCTTTATTGTGGTTCATTTACGATCAGTTAATTAATTATAAATGCTGATGACATAAGTTTGCAGAGATTAATCGACAAACTTCGCGCAGGAGATTGAGTGATATAATCTCCTAATCGATTTAAGTTACGTTTAATTTGTACACGTTTTTAACGATAATTTATTAATTGATGAAGTGATCAGAACGAACAGATGTAATAAAAAAGGAAATTAAAACACTTTTATATATAATTTTATATATTATTTATTTATTAAAAACAATGTCTTTGAATTTTACGTATGGATTTGAGGAGAAAAATTATCTTTTATTTTTATCCATTACGTCATTATAGTTTGACAGTTTTGATACTTAATACTCTGATGAAAAATTACTCGGTGGATATTTTTAGCAACTCCGTTTAACCAATTTAAACGTTGTTTAAGTAAGAGTATACTCCTTTCTAAAAGACCAGCAATGCACCTGCTAAAATTGGGTATCCATGACCTCTCATTTTGGGCGTGCCGTAGGCTCGTTTGCCCTCCTATTTTATAAATCTAATCTAAGGTAAATAAACTGTATTAATTTAAACGCAGATGATGTATAGTTAAATCTTTGTGGCATCTCTCATTACGTAATGGTCTAAGATCCCGCTATACAACGACCTTCACCGAGATCCTTATTTAATGAAACTTATTTTATATATAATTTAATATGTCAATAAATATAATCCATATGGGTTGCCTAGCAAATTTCAGTCCAGAGTATGTTTAATTAATTTAAAAAAAAATATTTTTTTAATAATTTCACCGGGATGATTATTAGATAAATTCTATACCAATCGAACGTATGAAGCCCATAGAATATGCAAACGTTAGGTTGTTTTTAATCAATTAATTATTTATGTGTATATTTTTT